GCTGATGAGGGCCGAAGGGGTTGATATCGACTACGATGATAAGTATATCAAAGAAGGCAATTCTCCGTTGATCTCAAGGTAATAAGAGATATGCATGCACTCTGCAAGTTGTTTTCAAACAGAACTGCGAGAAAGTTTTGCCGTAGATCAAGGGCGCATCAATCGTTGCCGGAACAAGACTGACTAAGCATTAGCCATACCGGTTTATCAATATACAGTACAGTCCTTTCACGACTACTTCCAACCACTGCATAATGAACCGGCTACTGACAAAATATCAACAGCAAGTAACTGAAAGGCCCTTACGAACATTTGCTTGCCAATCAGGTACCCATTACCCTACGATTCTTGAACCAGCCATGAGTGGTTTTGTCCGTTTAACCAGAAGTGTTATTTTCTTTTCAGGCACAATGTTCACCATTGGCGATTTGGTGGCTCAACAGGCAATCGAAAAAAAGGGCAATGACCATGATGCAGCTCGAACAATACGTATGGGCGTCTATGGCTTTTGTATAGGTGGGCCCATGGTCGGTAGTTGGTTCACGTTCCTGAATAATGCAATCAAGATTCAGCATCGAGTCAAAGGTAAACTGCTATTGCTGTTAAACTCAGGGGAAAGCAGTAATTCAACGATGAGATTGTTTGGGTGAATCACATAGGTGCACTTGTACGGCTGGCGATTGACCAAACTTGTTTTACACCAACATTGAACGCTGTATTTCTGACGAGTATAAGTTTACTCGAAGGAAGGAGCTTTGCTGAAATCAGAGAAAAATTTAGAACAGTACGTTTGTCTGCTAATTGTTTGGGTGCCAGTGTAGGACAAAGAACTGATTGGAAAAGCAATAGAGTTATTTCACGGCAGTATGCAACTCGTATCGATTATGGCCCTTTGTCAACTTGTTTGGCTTTTTGTTCATTCATCCGCCTTATCGACCTCTGACGAACAGTGTTATTGCCATTGGATGGAACGCATACTTATCCTATCTCAACCAACAAGCATTGAAAACATCAGCGGACGGAGCACCAGCTCTAGCAGCATCGAACAATACCAACGCATTAAGCAGCGATACCTCCACCACTGAACAAACACAACCGCAACAACAAGCCGTCGGTTAGATAACGCAGACACCGGTTGTGAAGAAAAGAAAGCTTTTGTTTATTTTGCATTATGATAAAGATATGTATGTATATAGAGACATTGATAGAGATAAAAAAAATAGAAAATGTATACAAAGTAGTACAGAATGATATGTAGAATTTGTTTTTGCTTTGTGCAATCCTGTATGTGTACGTGTGTGCCAATCCTGAAGCAAAAAGTGTCACACATGCCAATATTTTTCACTTCACCTTGTCCATTTTTCCTTTGTCAACGCTGAACGTACTTCTCCCCCGATAGCTGATATATCCAACTTTTTGTTTTTTTATCGTCATCATAGATCGTCTGATGCTGATGCACGTTGTCGCTTAAGACTTGGCAAACCCGAGTTAAGGTTGTCTTCATGTTGCTGTGATGCTGTATTAGGGCTTGCAGGACTCGATTCAAGATGGTCGTTTTGTTGCTGTTCGTTCTCCCGTTCTGATAATAAAGTTAGTAAAACGAGAGTTTGATGTAATGCGGTAATGCAACTTACCCATGGCAGCTCTTGAGCGTTTATAGCGTGGTGTGGTTCGGTACATCTCGGACCAAATGGGATTAGGTTTTAAGGTTCCGTCAGGCAATCTATAAATGCATGTTCGAGCAAGTTAAAGAAATCTGCTAGTACTTCTACTACAGTACGAGGTATACTTTATAGAGCACTGACCTGAGCATATCTGTCCGTCTCAGTTTTACGTTTGGAATCTGTTGGACAATTGCGCGCATGGATTCCATATGGGTATCACTTGAAACCTATATTACACATACACACATGTCAGCAAACTAGAAAAGTTTTTATTCAAGCTGAAAGACAAAAGTATATGAACCTTGCTCAGTGTTTCTGGAGCTGTCCGCGAGGCACGTTGTCGTTGCATAGTGAGTGATATTTTGACTTCATGTGTTGGCGTCATTGCTGCGGAAGAGCTGGTACTGACTGCAAAAGTAGGAGCAGCAGTAGAAAGTCGGTTTCGATTTGGCGATTGTGTAGGTGCTGATGGTGGTGGTGGCGGCGAGGGTAATGATACTTTCGGTTCGCTTTTTCGTTCGGCTTCATTGTTACTACCCTTGGCCTGAGAAGACCGCGGCGTGGGAACTTGGTTTTGCAAAGACGCTAGTGGCAGTGAAGCAGTAGCTAAAGGAGTAGGCTTGTACATGGATGCCTTGTCGGATGGTCTGTTTTTATGATGCGAGCGCGATGAAAGTGATGATGATGATGATGATGATGGTGGTGGTGACGAGGAGGAGCAGGAAGGGGATGAGGGGATTGGCAGTGAGCGCAATGTTGGTGGTAACGGCGATGAAAGTGATGGTGCTGAGGAGGACGATGGTGCTGTACTTGTTTGTTTAGCAAGGGAACCCGTGCGCGGGCCGTTGGTGCCCCTGATCGAAGACGTGCGAGAGCCGCCACTAGGTTTCAACATTCTTGCTTGAGAGGATATCAAACAGGCGACCTACAATAATGGGATGCTTTAGTTTCTCTTTGTCTTTGTCGTTCTCTCTTTGCTCGCATGAATCCAGTATAGAAAGCCCCAACTTTCTTTCTGTTACCTGTGTTTGAAGATGTTCAATGCGCTCTTCCAATCGCTGCATTCGGGTATCTTTAGCCTGCGGACGATCATCGTCCAATCTCGGCTTTGGTTTTTCCGTCGTCGTTCTTGTAGCAGTGGCAGCAGCGGTGGGAGTTCTGTTCGCAGGAGACGAACTGACCGTACTGGGGCTGTTATCCAGCGTTGCTTCTTCCTTGAGTTCACGTAACATAGTCTCAATTTCACCTATCTTGCGTATCTTCTCTGCACGCTCCGCAGCAATAGGGTCATTGTCATCATCGTGCGAACGTTTTCGGCTTCCTAAAGATTTCATCATATACCTATCATTAGTTACACGCTTCACTGGCAAAGCGAAGTTGCAGCCACCGATTTACCCGTTGATGTTGATGAAGGCATCGATAATGATACATTTCGAGGGGCCGATCGGGTAGAGCAAGTGGAAGAAGAAGGTGTTGAATAGTCTTGCAAGTCAGTGCTTTGACGAGACAATGAAGATGGAAGAGGTAGTGTCGTATTCGTTGCAAAATCAGTGTGGGTATCATATTGTTGATCTTGTAAAGCTTTTACTTGTGCTGCGCATTGGTGTTCTTGTACTTGGGGGCTGCCGCTGTTCTTGAAACCCATATTCTCAAAAAAGCGGTCAAATTCTTCAGACGCGTACTGCGCAGTGTCCCAAAAGGCAGTGTTCAATGTGCTCCAGATGGATGATTGCTCTTCTTGGTCAGTAGAGACAGAGGATTCGGACACCGTGGGATGATGGAGACTAAAGCCGTCTGCCCTGTTCATTTTTTGATTTACTTTTGATTGAATGCGCACGGCAGAATCAGAGAAAAAGTAAATTGTGCGTGTAGGTGCAAGTGCAAATGCAAATTTGTAAAAAGTGTTCAAGAGTGGTGTGTTGGAAACAAGAAAAAGAGCAGGTATTTTAAGATTGTGTGTTCTTTCTTTCAGGTCAAAGACGAAGAATAACAAAGAGAAAAAGAGTAAAGAAAGGAAAAACGCTGCGCGCCAGCGCGTGATAAAGGACTGGTACATGCAGCAGGAAATCAAAGCCAGCTGACCGGCCACTTACAACGCTTCTCTCACATACACCATACACCATACAACGTCTGTGCTGCTTAGCGTAAAGAGAAAAAGGCAATGGTGCACTACTTTTATAAAAGCGAAAAAAAAGATCAACAACCATCGTATATTGACTGCGAGTGGCTGAACAACATTGACTTTGAGTCTGCCGACGCCGCCAAAGATCTCTCTATATGCACAATCACCTTGAACAACATTTCCCACTATTGGTCTGGCACAGGTAATATAACACACCGAAGCGCGATCTATTCTCATTACGCATACGTAATGACTTTGTTTCACTAAACTGGATCAATTATTTAGTCACACGGAGAGATCTGGACAACTTTGTGAATGAGAACGCATCGCTTCCAAAGTTGGCGCAGGCTGTCAGTGCTGGACTGAAAGGAGAGACCGGCTATGAAAGCCAGGCGTTGTCATGGAAGATAACACATCGCAAGGATAAGTGCAAGGTACTTACAGCGGCCTTTTTATGGTTCAGAAACGTACGCGAGCACCACTTCTCCCATATAAACTTGCATGGTTATTTTATAGATGGCATTGATCAGCTATATGGGTGGATCGTTAGCAGTAAGTCATTATGTCCTCTGTATCCCAAGGAATAGTACTTGGAGTTGTCATCATGTAACCATCCATCCTGCTGGTAGTATGAAATGGGCTCGATCGAAATTCCCAGTGTACCGGAATTAAAAAAGCATCAAGTGATGCATGATTGGATGGAGAATACAATGAAACAATGTTTGACGTATAAGGCAAGTGGCATCATCCCATCTCTTCAGCCGGCTCTACCGTTTGAATATGTGTTTTGATCAAACAATCACCACTCCAAATTAACACCAGAGCATTGTGTGTATTTAGCAAACACAAAGATCACTTTCCGAACGAAATCGAGATCTTGTTGACTACAAGGAAAAGATGGAAAAAGAATTGGAGGATTTGACGCGGGAAAAGGTCGAGTCCGATATGATCAACATCCAAAAGGTAAAAGTCCAGCATAGGGCCGATGACGCGAAGAAAGATAATGTATTAACCTTTTTTTAAATGAGCTAATAGATGAAGCAGCTATTGAACAGCAAAAAACGACGCCTTCATAAAGTGATGATGGAACGTGATTCACTGTGTAAGTCTGTTTGCCATTGTTCAGTTGTGCAGCATGTATCCCATCTAACTTGACATATCATTGCATTACCTTTAGTACGACAAGTGGTAGCACATCAAGCGCAAGATCAAAGTCTCAAAGACCAAAACGAAGGGTCACCAATACCAATTAAAAAAGCTGCATCAAAGAAGCGAGGCCGACCGCCAGCATCTGCCGCATCAGCTTCAGCATCAGTATCCGAGACTCAAATTGACGTTGCACGGAGAAAACGGTAATTACTCTGAACTCACATTCAGAATCGACACAAAGTAGTAATTTAACGCTCTTTCAATCAAATACTATGTCTTGCTCTGTGTAGGATGCGTACTACACCGCCGCCGCCATCGGATCAAACCGAACCTAGTAGCAGTACTCAGAATGTCGAAAAAAAGGATACCAAGAGCAGCAGCAGTAGTAGCAGCGGCAAAAAGAACGGCTCTCGACAAGATGATCCTGGCGGTGGAAGCGAGACTGACGAGGACGACGCTGCTGGTGCTACTGTCCCAGGAGGAAAGACGGCCAAGATCCAAAAAGAGGCGACAGCAATCGAACTCGACTCTGACTCGGATGACTATGACAGCTATATACCCAAAGTGCGGCGAGCCAAGATTGGAAATAGGTAAAGAACAACAAGAGTTTCTAGGATGCTTTCGAGCGACAGTCGCAATTAACATGTGTACTGCGCAACCCTTGCTGTAGGTCGCAAAAGAAACGGCTTGCGAGAAACGCGTCTGAAGAGGACGATGAAAGCGGCCAAAGCGATTGAGCGATGTGACTCGAACTATGTACTTTAGCAACAACAACAACACAAAACCAACAATGATACCCGAAGAGTGCAAATCCCTTCTTGTACCCTTTAAGAATTACATATCATAATACTATGTACTTGCTACTATTTTTACGGAATTGCACGGAACATTTTCAAATGCAGCACACCCTTCTAAAATTTAATTTCTTTCCTCCCGCTTTCTTTTTATTCTCTCTACACTTGCTAATACACGACAATGTTTCGCGCCTCAACCTCCTTATTGCAACGTCAAGCAGCAGCATGCCAGCGCGGCTTCCACAGCAGCACCGCCCACTTGATAAAAAAGGGCGACTATCTCCCCAGCATTGTTGTCCAGCGCAAGTCGCCCGCCGATACTGTGGACGTCCAAGAACTTTTCGGCAGTGTCAACAAGGCTATTCTCTTTGGTGTCCCTGGCGCTTTCACTCCTGGTTGCTCCAAGACTCATTTGCCCGGTTACATTAAGCAAGCTGAACAGTTAAAGGCAGAAAAGGGCGTGGACCTGATCGCATGTGTCTCGGTCAATGACGCGTTCGTCATGAGCGCATGGGCTGATGCTACCAGTGCCGACGGTAAAGTCGAACTGTTGGCTGATAGCAAGGGCGAGTTGGCCAAGGCTATGGATTTGGATTTCGACGCTTCTGGTGCTTTGGGCGGCCATCGTTTCAAGCGCTTCGCAGCTGTTCTCGAGCACGGTGTGGTCAAGGAGCTCTTTGTTGAGCAGGACAAGACTGGCTTGAATGTCAGCTTGGTGGAGAACGTTGAGAAGCATTTGTAAAAGTAGAATAATTCGTATACAAAGCACAAGATACAAACACAATAAACTGTGAGTCGGTGCCATGCAATTAATGAGGACGGATAAAAGAAGGAAACAAAAGACAGAGCAGCGCAAATTGTGATTGAGCCGCAAGGACGGCGACACTGAAGCTTCTATGTCACTTTTCTTATACGTATTTTTCGCATACTGTTTAAATCAATATACTCAGTTACGAACTAGATTTTGCTCACTATCGATAGTTAGTAAAGGTTAAGGTAATTAAATGCGTATATGAAATGCTGTTCGCATCGCATCGTGTAGATGCAAGAAGCTCGTCACGTTGTGAATAGCTATTCATTTAACAGCTTCTAAAGGTGGTGATGTAGAAAGAGGAAACGATCTGCTGGTGGTCATCATCACTTTCTTCTCGTTATCAAATTCTTTTCTTATCATACAAATAAGACAAAGAACGTAGCGGAATTAAGGAAGCTCAAGCTTCTTATCAATAGCCTTGGTATTCAGTATGGAGAGTAAACATACATGATAATCAAAAAATCTTATGAAGTGGGTGTCTCCTTCTTCAGATCCAGTATGTAAAAAAATGTATTCAGTGACTAAAATACAGGTATCTGAATATCTGATCAAACTACTGGTGACAAAGTCTGGATTGTACAGTAGTGTGCTTCGTCATACACGTCCAAATGTACAAGGGACAATTACATGCTCAGTATTATGAGATGGTTACTGAATACAACAAGGATAAGTGTGATAGCGTTATGTTTGCTTACGCACCATAAAATATGTAAGCATATTCAGTCAAATTGTAACATACAGTTAGAAAATTCTTTATTGTCCTGTAGTGTAGTGTAGTATACTATGTAAACGTGTGATAAGATGAAATTCAGTAAGTACGTACAGTAATGTTCTAAAAACTTCATTGTCGATGGCCCTCATTGGTGATATGTGCAACAAACAGAATAGGTTAGCATGATCTCTTCTTTCTCTTCTGCTTCCTGCTCTTTTTTCAGTTTTTTTCTGGTCCTGCTCTTTTTTTTTTGAAGTATGAATGGGGAAAGGGAAATAAGGAATGGCACACACGGTCCTCGGTTCGGCTGATGATGACCGTAAACTTGGAATGGCGGTCGGTTTCAAATCCGATAGTTGCATTGTGTAGGGTGTCAAATACATCATCAAGCTGGCCTTGGAGTTGTATACGTTTTCGTGATGTCTTCCGTAACAAAACCCTTATCAATAATCCTTTTTTTCAGATTGTAAATAAAAGTGCTGCCTAAAGCACTCATACACTACATGCTGTGGCTCTTAACTTTTCACGGGAGTCTTTGATAAAATGGGGTGGACATCAGGGTTTCGGGCACTGTAGTCGTGTCCTCGACTGTTGCAGAAGAAAGTGAAAGATCGACATGCACAGCTGCTGTGGAATCACCCACGCTAGCAACCGGCACAGAGCGAGCGAGTGCAGAAGTGTATGCCACAGACGGTCGAACAGGTGTCGTCCGGACCTCATGAGAAGAACGTCTGAGCACAAGTCGTCGCGATGCGTCCTCAACTACACTTACTCCACGCGAAACTGGGGAACCACTCCACTCCTTCTTTATCCGTTTCCAGTACTCGCGCTCTACCAACACATCCATCGGATCAAAACACAAACGGAATTCTGGCCGAGGATCAGATATGTCGATAGGCAGACGACTGATCACATGTTTGCGAACCTCGTTGTCGATTTCACGATCTATGCCATTCAAACTCCCCAAGGGATCCGGGTGTTGCAGCCCTTCACACGGAAAATGATTGCGCTGGCTCACGTTCACAAATGCAGAAGTAGGTTGCGTTGGCAACAAGGGCGGCGACGGCGGCGGAAGCAGACCTTACAACGTACAGAAGCGACGGGTCGACGTGCGTACCAAAGTGCAACACTCAGCACAGGCGACAAAGGCCACAAGGGCAATGAAGACAAGGAAAAACAGCAGGATTTGGTTGGCATGCCAAAGGTGATTGGCAGCGGCCAAAGCGAGAACGCACAGGTAAAAGAGAGCCACTCGGGCGACAGGAACCAGGAGAATGTACATAGCGACAGTAAGAAATTAATAAGAAGCTGGTGAAGTTGGTTTTGTCAGGCAACGTCATATGTGTGCTGCCTGCGCAGTCAACTGAACTCCCGCTATAACGTGCGCGTGCGCGATACATAAGCATGATCCCTTTCTACGGCTTTAACGAAAGCGTATTCAAAGCAAAACTGCTGTTATTATTAATAGTGGATATAGCATAGAACAGCGAGCGTCGTCCACCATCATTGTTACTTTTCCCTTCGCCCCATTTCCCAATGCTTGGGTGTTGAAGTGTGGTCTGTTGTCAAGAAAGTACTGTACGTCGGTAAAAGTGGTTGACCCATGTATGCTTAGAAACATTTTCAGTGGTCAAGGTTGCTGCACACAGATAATTTGTATGATAGCCTGAGTTAGCCATTTGCTTGACCAGAATTGATGATGAAGCGTGTTCGTTGTTTTTTTTCCTAGATCAGCAAAGTGGTTCCTATGACAATATGTACACCGCCGTATATTAAAAATTACACATCGATGCCATGAGTTCATTACAGAAGGATGATTGTGACCTTGGCAATCCAATACATGTATACAGTGATAAGCCGTCGAGAACACGGATTACATGTTATAAAGATGGTATACCCATCTGATAAACTTCGCGTCGTTATCAAAGATCCGTAATGAATGGATGTCTTACAGAAGCAATTTGCTTAACACAGAAAGGAGGAGCACGGGGATGCTAAATAACTCGAGATATTGGCAGCAGTATACGATTTAAGCTTTGTATACATATGCATACTAGTATGGACATGGAATGTGTGGTGGAGATGGCGAAGGTATCGGCATTTCCAAAAAAGAAAAGGGTTCTTTTCCAATGCTTCCGCATATTCCACCATTTCCCGCTAATCTTATTTCAATTTCAATCAAGTTAATGAGCTTCTATTACTGTGCATCTTCTCCGAACCGTGGGGCAAACAGGCTGTTGTCAAAAGAAAGAAGAAATGTCCTTGCCGGCTAAGGGACAAAGAAGAGGTATGTGTTTTGAACGCTGCTAATTCAGGTTAGTGCGGTAACAAGCAAAAACCAAACAACTACCGCTGCTAAACTAGAGTGGGTATGGGGGCTGAGCGTCATTGCGTCGAGGTGCCACGAAAGTTAAGCATAAAGCCAGATTTTCTGTCACTCTCCGTCCTTCTGTTTCATCGCCAATTTGTGTTCGAGCTACCGTCACCTTCCACACACACGAACAGGCAATACTGCACGATGTGGCCAGCAGCCGCACTCTCGTTCTCTGCATTGCAACGCGTTTGCAGATAAAAGAGCGGAGGGGACATGGTTTTACAGAGAAAAAACCCTTTACTTCGTCTCGAACAATTCGTCTGTAACACACCCTTGCCTTTTTATTTTCACTCGCTTTGACGATTCTTTTTTTTTCCCCGTTCTTCTTTTTCTCCTCCTCCTTCCTCACGGCATCCTCCCCTTCCCTCACTCGACGTGCACAATCACACATACACCAAATGCTTCAGTTTGCATACAACAATAAACCGGGAACCAAAAGGTACTTCAAAGCTCGATCCACCTCGTCCGCTTCGGCATCGCACCGGATAATACCCCTCTTATTGGGCACCCTCTTTCTCCTTACCTGTCTGTCTTTCCTTTCCACCCTTCCCGAAATCACAGTTGATCCCAACAACAAAACCAAGCAACATTCAGCAGCAGCAGCAGCATCACCACCACCATTGTTACGCAATGACGCATCAGCAGAAGCACAAGAACAATACCTAGCATACTTGCCTCATTCCGGTCTGTCGAACCAGCGGATAGAGCTGGCCAACGCACTCTTACTTGCAGCATTACTGCAACGCACGCTTATCATCCCCCCTGCATTCTTGGGGACTGTAGTCGGCTGGATGAAAAAGGAACAAATCTACGATCACCTGGGGTGGCTGACGAACGCCAGTGTGCCCTTCGAACAAATCTGTCGGCCAGCCACACCGGGCGATTTGGCGTCGTATGTACGACGGAGTCGGTGTGCCGAATATCGTCACTTTGGTGTGATCCCGTGGTCAGAACTGCATAATATCGACTCGCTCACGCCGTACGTGAACATCCGCTTTCAAGACATTGTCTCACTCCAGCAATTGCAGCAGGATCTCGGCATCGATGAAAATGACACGTATGTCCATACCGATCAGCATTTGTACGACTGGCGGTTGTATGAGGACTTATCGGTGGCACGCAACCTATTGAGAACCGGTACCAACTATGTCGATTCGTTTGCTGGTCGGCGGTATTACAAGGTGTACACCATCAAGCATTGGCAACGACGACCCGAACGACTGTTGCAACTGGGTGGCATCTTTGGTAGCACACGCATCAACTTGATCGATCCCGAACATATTGCTTTACGAAACACGATTGCCAGCGCACTGCATTATCGACGTGATACGCTAATTGGCGAAACGGTGAAGAACATCGTTGAATATTTGGGCGGTGCTGGATCGTTTGTGGGTGTGCATTTTCGGACTGGCGATAAACCGTTCAGAAAGCAGCTGCCGAAAAACTTGGTCTTGTTTGCTCAAGGAATGGCAGAGTTGACAGGAGCGCCTGTAATACCACGGGAGGAGGATGTCTTAGCGGCTATCCAATCGGCAGATCCTGGTTTATGGGACGAGCCAAGACGAGTACCATTGTTACCACCACATGCAGGATTGCATGTACCTCCATGGTCGACAGTATGTCGCAGCGTGCCAGTCAGCGGTGCACCCATTACAAGTGGATTTCGTACCGTCATCTACATCGCCACAGACCAGCCAAACCCACGGTCACCTATCAGCAAGTTGGCGCCTTGGTTCGATATGTTTCCATGCACAGTGACTTTGAACGATCTTCCCGACTACCTTTTTGCTCCACTAGACCAGGTTCATGATATGATCGTGCCCGAGAAGACTCTCAGATCGTTTTTGATACCCGTAGTGGACGCCATGGTTGCTGCACATGCACGACAGGTCTTTGCCACTCCTCGATCCACTTATTCGAAATACATTGGTGAAATGAACCGTGCTTGGGTGCCATCATAGAATCTTCAAACCACCACTACCACCATCACCCGTTCCTACCCTCATCTCATTCCACTTCTCCTCCGCCGCCATAATTTGTAAATCCTTTATCCGATTTCATGCACATAATACCTCATACTTCCACTGTACAGTAGACAACAATATATAATCTAGACTCTGTAATATGTAATTGCAAAAAATATATAAATTTATATATAAAGAATATTGGAGCCCTCCACACATACTATCCCTTACAAACATACATTCCATCCTGTCCTGCTTTTAGATTGACACATTAAGGGGGGCGGGTAATATACAAACATACACAGAGACACAAACGCCATTGCGTACTGTGGAGGGATCGTAAGAGTTATATAAATCATGTACAATTAACGGGAACGTTCCCTTTCGCTTTCCTTTTGGCTAGGCGTCGGCAGCAATAAGAGCGACAATCATGCGGTAGAGATACCAGAAGAAACACTAAAAGTTCCAATTAGTATTCACAGTCATTTTGTCTTTTTGAATAGTACAAGCCCCCCTTAACTTACGCAAAGGTAAAAGGCAAGCTTGATAAAGCATTCCTTTTTGTGCACTCCAAGTGTTCGAAAGATCTCGGTGGCATCGTACATATGACGATTGCTCGTAACCCTGTGTAATGTTTATATGTCACGTGTCGCGTCCATCCAAGAGTTTACCGTCCTCCAACCCCTTCTAGATCCCTCTCAAACATTCCAACTTACTTGCGAATATTAAAGGCGACCAATGGCAAATTCAACAGCAATGAAAACCAACTTCCATTGATAAGAAACATGAAAAACAAAAATGCGTGGGCGCCCATCTCTGGAAGAACAAACTGCACGTAACAGCACGATTAATTGGTGATCAAGTCAAACAACGACAGATCATCTCTGGTACATATATTTCTTAGAATGTTTTCGCTTCCAATATTAGTCACCTGATTCAATTTGTTGCAAAGATCGATTGGATTAATGTAGTCGCATTCTAAATCAGAAAACATGATAACCTAAAAAAGACGTGTGGTCGTTAAGGTGATATATATACGGTTATACAGCAAATCACTTGTTTCAGTGCAAAGAATCTCGGGTCCGAGTATTATTGATAAGAAAAGGATACGAAAAACACCATCAAAAATAGCAGCAGAGCTGCCATTATGACAGCGAAGAGGAATAATAAAGCTTCACCGGGCATCGCGATTGCGTTAGTTTTGGGGAAAAAAAAGCCTGTTCAAGAAGCGGAACGAAGCCGCATTACGTGGAGCTGTCTGCTGCCTCATGCATACCGCGCATCGATGTTTTGAATTTCCGCTGCTGATGGTAAGTGCCAAAGCGGCAAAGTTACCGTGTCTGTCATAGAACGTATTCATTTTTTAGTCCCGCATCGCTTGTAGCAACTCTCTTCCAAAGAAACATTGACGCTGTAGTGTGTTGGTAGTAATTCATTGGTGCAAGCACATCTATTACTTTGAGATAATCATACAGTAGCAGTATATAATAATAATAGTTGTAAGCCTTGAAGTTGGCGAGGGCAGTGATTGACGGTGCTAAGTTTCTCCGAGTACCATAGTCTAAGCAACAATCTAAGCCGACTTGCTGATAAGACACGGTTGAAAGCCTCATGATTGCACGAGAATTTCATTATAAAAATACGCAAGGACAGTGATTGTTTATGGTGGAACAAGTATGGTTGAATCGATGATAGTTGACGTTGCTTCAATCGGATCATGTCTTTGATGTATGCAGCGTTGTGCGTGTTAATAGACACCAATCGTCCAATTCCCAAGAGTCAGCAAAGACGAACATCCAAAGAAGTTTCGAAGGTCCCCTTAAAAAAAACTCTATGTGGAACACCTGCGCAAAAAAAAAAAAACTTTCAAAGAAGCCGTGGATAAGTCGAATCTTATCAAAAAGACAAAGGATGCTCCCCGTGCTTCTCCCCGCTCCCAGTCAAGTGAGTTTAATGTGAGATGGGGATGAGGATGAGGAAAAGGAAGAGTGTTAAGGGTTGGGCGCGCCTAGATAAAAAAAAAATCCCAAGCGGCACTAGAAGAACGGAGGTCGTTGCCAAATTATTGTTGTTCATATTGACAGCACAACCATTCTGGCCGTTCTTCGTGTAGCAGCAGCAAATTTATCAAAAGGAAGGGAGGCTGCAAAAAAGGCACCAGCCGCGCTGTCAGCCATAACTTCTAAAGGTCAGTAAGTGCACACTCAAGATAAGAGAAGAAAGAGACGGTGTACGAAGACAAGTTTAATTGTTATGAGTGGCGTATTCTAGATGACTAACTACAGTACCTGATGTTTCTTCTGTTTTCTTTTATTGATTGCAGACTTGTAAGATACTTTTCGCCTTCTCTTCCACTTTTGTTCGTGTTATGATACATCCCCTGATACCAAGCCAATTCCATGGTTGCGCGTTAACTCGTTAGTAGACATGCGTTCTTGTGATAGGAGAGCTTTTGACATGTGTATTATTCATTACAGCCGTCCCACTCAATATATCTTTATAGTTTAGGTTCGTTTAGCAGCCATAAGCGATCGCTTTTCTTTTTACCGCTTTGCGGAAGCCATAAATAAGTCAGTCTTACTAGAATAACTCGTCTTCGCTCCCCTCTTTCTCACTTCTGTCTACATTGACCGCCACTCCTGTCGTATACAGTGAAGTGTACCTTAAGACAAACGATTGTTTTGCAGTAAATGCTCTATTAATTACTATGTTTGCTTTTTCTTTTTTTCAACATATATGTATACATAAGTGAATGGCAGGGTTGGGATCTAAATGTTAAAGAAGAACTATATACGCAGAAATTATGTGACGTGAACAGAAATAAAACAAAATACAATGCAAAGAGGGCTGTGAGGGTAGATACTATGTTTGGTAGGATGTGGTTGTTCTGGATGAGATTGTCGATGTTTTGTGGTAGGTGACTTTTAAAGCTGATTTGAAAAAGAAAAAGGGAATATATTACAAAGGCTTTTTGACGATCCAGCAAGTGAACCGCGAAAAGCTGTGGTACTCTTCAAACTCCTCCATGATCTCCTGCACAGCAAGATCGTAGTCTTCCGATGGAATTCCCCACTTGCTGATAAGCTCCTGCTTACGGTTTCGCAGAAACGCCTTCTGTGTCTCCTTGTTGATGAATCCAAATTGTTTGAGTTCTAATTGATTTAGAAGATTAGCGTCTGACCAAACACACCGGTAACTGCTGAGAACAGCCTTGTTTTTCTTGTATATGATATTTTATATCGTACCTGACTCTTCCGGCCACTCGCCGATCGGAATGTCTACTTGTCTTTGCTCCACCAGCTCAAATCCAGCTTCCTCGAGGTATCCTTTGACTGCGCCGATAAACTCAAAGTCCAACTCGAATTCCTCCCAGTGCGACCGAGCGAATTCTTCAAACGTCTTTTGTACTGGGCCAGGGTTATGGTGGCATGGATCGAGTTCTAACAGTTCAACATAGCCTCCGGGTTTAAGCACTCGATACATTTCTTGGAGAAGTGCAAGCCATTGCTGTTTTTTGACATGTGGACCCATATTACGTTGGAAAATCCTATATGCGAAATATACGGAACATGTGGTTAACTCAACACAATCACTATAAAACAGTCTCTCCTTGTTTTCCAGTAATAGTTAGGTTGATAGAAACATACAGATCAACAGCGGCATCGGTCAAAGGCCAACGTTCGTGAATGTCAGTTCGCACAAAACGCAAGTTCTTCAAGCTCGCCAAAGTCTGTTCTGGTGGAAGGCGAATATCGAGTCCCAGGACTTGTGCATGAGAATGCTGCGTTGCCATTTCGAGTGCCCAAATGCCGTTTCCGGTACCCACGTCAACAAAGGTCTTTTCCGACGAAGCATCGATCGGAACCCACGAATTAGCTTTCCGAGCACTTTTCAATAGGTAATGCTGAATAATTTCATGATTGAGAATGGCAAAACCGAACGATTTGACAAAAAAAAGTTAATTTCCTTCTCCCCTTTCAAAAAGAGAAATGTGTGCTTATCACTAAACGCGGACAAGAACTAACCTGACGTTGCATTCTATCGTATTCTCGGTAGTCTTCTTCTGTCGGGCGCGAGAAACTCATTTTTCGTTTGGTGAAGAATTCAGTGATGGATTTGCGTCGAGGTGGTTCCTGGGTTACGGCTGCTGTGGAGGATTGTTGCTGAGCAGCGGCAGCCGCCAGGGCAGCGTTGATACCGTTTGCGCTCAGGGATGTTGCCGTGTTTTCATCAATCCAGTTGTAGTTGCCCTGAGAGGTATGTGATTGTGCACCCAAGGTGACAGTGCTGCGTCGTCGAATACGTCGACTCTCACGTTTTCGCTCGATCGCTCGACTGGTTTGGTTGCCCATTTCCCCGTCCGAAACAATAATCTGAGAAAGAGGAGAGAGAAGAGGCAGATCAGGGACCAATTGAACTTGTGAAATACAAAAAAAAGGGTGCTAAAAACGGGCAGGTTGTACAAAGCCAGCTGTGGGCGGAGCGACACGGATAGTTCGATAACCGATTAAGAGTGCTGCTGCTAAGGAAGGCTGAACCAGTTTCGCCTGCTGAATTTTTCTCTTTTTATTTATTATTTCGTTTAATAGCAGTGATCAACGTTTAACCGACAAGTGAGTGTGAAACAGACGCAATCGGTATTGCTGGAGACAACGTGGTTGTATGATATTCCCGCCCCACCCCCCGCATCCCCACGCTTAAATGAAATGAAAGGAGGAAAACAAGGTTAAAGAGCAGAAAGTAAGGGAAAAGAGAAATGAACCCGTCTGGTATGTATGACGGGTGAGGAAAGGAGGGAAAGGAAGGGCATGATGCTTGTGCAACCGTCCATTGTATGAGTGTTATACATACTGGGCTTCACAGGCTTGGTTCCACATAGTTGGCTGAGTGGGGAAAGAACAGACAGAAGGGTGAGTTTCCATTTGCTTCTTGCCACATGGCAAACTTTCCCCCCCCCCCGTTATCTGATGGAATTTTACCTGGAAACATGCCCTCGCGGTCACCAATCCGACCCTTCCACCAGTCCATTGTGTTATCCGTCTTTTCCACTATCTCAATTCTGTCACCGCTCCGGATCGACAGGTCCCCTTCCTGCTGTGCGTCCAGGTCGTACAGTGCAACCACAACCTCTTTCATACGAGGCTTGGGTGGAGGCGGTGGTGGCGCTCTTCGCTGCTGTGCCGATGATGGTGCCACCGGGTCTGCCAATGGCGCATGCTGCTGCTGGTAGTACGGCGGTGGCTGTTGTTCTTGGTACTGCTGCTGTTGCTGTTTCGCTGCAGCGCGTTCTTGAAGCGTCGCTTGCTCCGGCCGAACCAGATTCCCTATTACATCATCGCTTATTATTTTAGCTTCTCCTTGCTTCCTTTTCCCGCTAGATTCCGCTTCGCTTCTTCTTCATAAAACAAGTCTATGTTTTATATTTACCGTTCAAACTGCTACCCTTCTTCAGCACATCCAGCTGTTCAAGCTCACTCTTGACATCCCGCTGTCTCATTCGCCACTGGAATCCGTCCTCCAATGGCTGGTCAAGTGTGACAAAGTATTCACGATGACTATCCACTACCTCGTATATCCGACCATACATGCCACCTATCACCCGGCACTGGATGCTGTAAAAGTTTTCTTGGACAGGGCCGATAAATGAGCTAGCCAGGCGGAAAAACCGCATCAAGTCCTGCTTCAACATGTCGTTCAGGTACTCGTAGTCCTGCGTGGCAGTCTCCAGTTGGCCTTCAAGCTTGTACACTTGTTTGTCCTCACTAGGGCTTCGATCAGCCATGTTTTTAAATTTCTGGTGTGATGTACGGTATCGATCATAGTCAATCAGCTTATGCTGTCGCTTGGTGATGGTCTTTTGGATGGTTTTGATTACACTATGCATATTCTCGGCTGGCTGTACTACCAGTTGATCCAGTTGATCCTGGTTTTTTCGTGGTATGAATTCCGAACCAGTTATTCGGAAGTTATCAGTTTTGCTGTCATAAAAAAGTAGAATGGATGTGCGTTTTGACTAGTGTAAATGTTATCTTTATTACCAACTCTTGCAAAATTTCATCACGGCAATACGTCATGGCTGTTGCATAATCTTGTGCAGCTTGCACCGCTTCCGAAGAAACTTCGCTAGGTCGTCGTTTAACTACCCCTTCCTCAGACTGCTGAACTCCTATCATTGGATCATAAATTTCGTCTATCGCGGTGGCACCACCCATTTGATGCTCTAGCATCGCTGTTATATGATCATCAACATGTTAATATATGTTCTTATTATATGCGTATGACGATTCTCTTTGTATTCTCCTTTTTTATCGCCAAGTTATATGAAAGACCTTACAAGCTACTGAGTCACGGAAACCACTGCTCTGTTGCCGCAGTTCGTTGACGCTTTTCACTACACTGTTGAAACGCGTTTCCAGTTTGTTGAAATCTTCATCGAAGGTCACTGTGTAGGAGCTCATTAGCGAAGACACGCAATCGCCAAGTTTGTGCTAGGCTTTGGATCTACTTCTTTTTCTTTCGTTTACCATCTCCTTTTTTTGCCATCATTTGGTGAGGCAATCTTGAGATTGCCTTTGTCATTCCTTTCCTAAAGTATTCTCTAGTTGGTCATTGTCTTTTACTGGGTACTGTATTATGGTTTTTTTCGTTGTTTTACCAGCTCATAGTGTCGCTATTCCTGCAAGAGAGAGAGAGAGAGAGAGAGAGAAAAATGTATGCAGTTACAGCTGCATCACCGAGTTAAATTTAGAGCGCCCCCCTCCGCTTTTGTCGTTTTCGCTATTTTTACGCTTGTTCTCCCCCCCCCACCCTCCCCTCACCCTTTCACACTTCCATGCCAAGCTTCACCAAGCGTAAGAACAAACCGTTTCTGGAATTCATTGCTTTGACAGAATTATGCTAATCAAGTTTTTTACAAGGAGGGACGAGAGCAGTACTACTTGTTATCTGGCTCAAGTACCTTTTCACAATAGCTTCACTATTCCTCCCTTTTCCTTTTCTTCAGTGTACACATATCTCTTTTTATTATATGCTCGTACCAATCATACTCATGTTGCTTTAATGAAAAGTAACTAGATATTCCATCATGTGTAGCCAAGTTAATGAAACAGCCCTTCGTCGTTACACAAGCGGGCACGCTACGATAAAAGCAGAAAATGTGTTCTTTATTGGCTTTTGCTCCATTTCTTCATGTACTTTGCAATATTAGGCCTTTCCTCAATGGTTCTGACCAATGCTGCCAGACGAGGCGGAAGATCTTTTGGCTTGAGCTTTTCGTCAGTAATCATATGATAGGTCTGGAAGTCGGCAAAGGAGATCTATCATTTGAACAAACAAACAAACAAAAAACAGTTGGGCTTATTAATCATTGTGATGCAAGCGTGGGTATAAGGGTAATCGTGTTACCTCGGAGCCAAGAACATAAGGGCCATCTCGAAGTTCATAATACCGCTCGAGTCTCTGCAAATGAAAGGGAACATCCTCTTGGAGGTGCTTTTCTCGATTGTCCTAAGCATACATATCAGAATATCAGAAAGTACTACTTGGCGGATAGACAACTGTCTTTGGAGCAAAGCAAATCATGTATACACTCTTACAGGTCGAAGCCACGAATCGAATGCAAATCTATAATACCAATCCTGGGCAAGATCAGCAACAGAGTCCACTAGATGCTCGTCATCAATATTTTTGCCATAGTATTTGCCCAACTGCCTAGACAGCAGACGCGCGATTGGTGTAGTACAGCTATATCGCTTTCCATCGGCTGTCTCAATCACAGGTAAAGAGCCTGCTGTGTATCCGGACGCGATCCATTCGTCGCGCACCTTTGGCCAGTCTTGCCACTTGTGCAATATATATTCGTGTGAAATACCAGCGTCTTCGAGCAGTAACTTGATGTTCTCGCCGCGTCCACAATCCGTTGGTACTTTTTAGTGAATATTGTTTATTGCTCGTGAGCTCCTTGTTATATGGACGTCGTACTCTGATGTTCGTCTGTTGTATGCTGGAAGAGTGTATGCGATTCTAATAGTATATTTACCATTGCCAAAATCAAAGTAATGAAGCTTGACGTGAGAAAGATCAACCATCGTTGTTTTGTGCTTTTGCAGAATTCAAAGAAAAGAAAGAAACGCTTAGAAATACACATGTATCCGAATTTATGTGTTCTACGTTCAGTAAGGATAAGGTCATGATGGTCACGCGACACACAAACCTGGCGCATTATGCGCTATACTGCGCCACCCATTGCTACACAAGACTTTTTCTTGCAAACGGAGAGGATTAGCAGGGCACAATTTCGCCAGTATTTATTTAAACAGCTATAGCAACAGCATGTAGCAATGAGAACGCGTGGTTTCTTTTGGAGGACAGAGTTCGTATTTGGTCGCGCACAAGTGAACTATACTTTGGCCTGTGAATTACAGGATCAGACGGTTCACTGCTGAGTACTGCGGAAAAATACTTCAAGCTGCTGCCGCATAAATTTAATAACACGGCCTTTAGCTTTGAAAGCTACCATATGAGACGGAAGATGTATTTACAATACATAATAATTTTATTGTTACGTTGTGTTTAAAGAGAGGCGCGCTTTGAATGACGATACTTTTTGATGTTGGGTCGTTCTTCGAATGCCTTTACAAAGGCTGCCAAGTGAGGAGGCAAATCGGCTGGTGTCAGCTTTTCATCTGCTACCATTTGATAAACTTGGAAATCTGCGAACGATATCTGTATTACACGCGCATACAAACGTAAAAGCGTTCACCAGCATTAGGAGTTACAGGTCAATGTTTGAATACACGGCACTTGCTACTTCTGTCATACCTCAGATCCTAGCACATAAGGTCCACCTCTGGCGGCATAGAACCGATCTAAACGTTCCAAATGTTTGGGAAGGTTTTTCTCGAGATGATTTTCACGATCTTTCTACACGATGCATAGAGGTTCATGGGCAAGTTAGAATAACAGGCTCCGCCAAATCACAGCATACGAAATGACTCAAGGAACCAACCTGATCGGGGGTCCAAACCGAGGCATCAAAGTTGGCATACCAATCATTAGCCAGTTCCGAGATAGCATCTACCAACTGCTCTTCCTTGATGTTGGCGCCATAATACTTGTTCAAATTTTTGGATAAAAAGCGCAGCAAAGCAGTGGTGCAACCATATAATTCACCATCGGGAGTCTCAACAGCTGGCAAACATCCGGCCAGGTAACCTCTTTTAATCCAGTCATCCTTGTACTTTGACCATTCATTAATGTCGTACATGATATAGTCGTGTGGAATACCCGCATCCTCAAGGAAAAGCTTAACATTCTCACCACGACCGGTATAGGGCGTTGTCGGACGAACTAATCATTCGTGAGATTTCTGTATCTCTTATTATCCATATTATGAGGTCTGACATTAGTGTGAATTAATTACTTACGGCCACCCTTATGCTCAAAGACAAAGTAGTAGAGTTTGAGATGTGATATATCGGTCATGATGTTCTACGTGTTTGTTGGAGTAAGGGGAAAAGCGAAAGAAGAAGTGGTGGGAAGAATGATTGTTACTAGTCTCATTTTTCTAACAATATGACGTCTCCTCAAAGCGTGACTAGTTTGAGAAATGCTTACAAATCCCAGTTGCATGAAAGCATAATCCTTTTTGGGATGCGGACAAGCAATCCGCCCTGGCAGTTGAGTGGGGAAAGATATAGCAAACGAAGTTCGCACGCCGCTTGTTATAATTTTTGTCATCTATATGCAGATCTGTGAAACAATCGTTATGGAGCGGGCTAAGTACAGTATACTAACTTTTCACTTCAGAAATATTATAATTTGAAGCCTATTAAGCTAGTAAATCTCAAAGCGTCAGAAAGTCGTGTGAGTAAATATATACTAGACAAAAATCAGTAAAATGACAATAGTAATAATCGATTTCAGTGCCAAGTGACTCATAAACTACCTTTAGGTGGAATGGATTCCAGCTGCTTCAAGATGGATAACGTAGAAATCGCAGACCGCTAGTTTTGATGGTCGCTTACACGATCCTAGTAAATCAGGATGCCAGATATGCAAGACGACAAAATTGTTTACGAACTATAGCTTCAATTGACCAAGTGAGCTTTGATATTTCTGTTTATAACTACACAGAATTACAAACGCCACAACATTATCCTCCTCTTCTCACTATTCACGAGCCACAGTAATTTTTAGCTTAAAGATATCTTTATTAGTGCATTTAGCTCATAAAAGTACATACATGCTATTACAAATCATTTTATACCGTAGCATATGTTCTCCATAGTAGCATAATCAAATTTAATAGGAAAATAGCACCAAATTTCATTTCATATATATTAAAATTATATGCAGATATCATACCAAGTTGTACACGAGTATGACTTCAGGAGTGTGAGTAATATATCTGCAGTAGTTCCATTGTTTCAGCAGCAGAAGTTCGTTATGAAAGCCGTTGCTTTAAAGTAGCAAAGAGAAAGATATCATCACCAAGTCTAACTGCATACAGTATGCACGCAGTAACCTCTTCCTTCTGTTTGTACATAATGTAACTACTCCTTGAAACCTTCGATTCCGTTTATGCAACCAAAACCCAAGGAAATTGTACGACTGTGCCATCCTGGCTTAAAGCAGTTCTTCTTCTTCATCTGTAAAACACATAACTGCCTTCTTCAAAAGTAACGTAACTCTCTCTGCACCTTTCGATTAGAGGATCATGATTTGTTCTTCCGAATGATTCCGGAAAGCAAGCTTCTTTATTTGTAATAAAAGTGTTATTCACTAAGCGTTGGACAAGGACGATAAAGTGCACAGCATGCTACTACTTGCTCCTGCTGCTGTTTTTGCACTGACAGGCTATTACTAACACCCACTGCATACGTCTCCCCGTTCTCGTCTTCAACCTCTTCCCATCGTAGCACATTGTTGCTGTCACCATTGCGAAAAGCATCCTCTTGATGATAATGATGAGCTGAAGCAGGGTTCGTCGATAGCCGCTCAAAGTATTCTGTCACACGGCTCGGTCGATACTGACTCAAATCAGTCTTGTCACTGTAATGTTGATGTTGATTTCGTTGTTGGATAATCGATAAGAGTTCTCGAAGATCTGCTATGCCGTAACCATCCAATATTGCATTGTTGTTATTGCTGTTGCCAACGGGGCCAGTACCACCCAAATCGTGTATAGATGTAATCTGCAGCAACATCGTGGTTCTGTCCAACTTTCGCCACCGGCATTGGAAGCCATTGGCTGTGATACGCCGATCCGTTACTACCTTGAACAAACGATTCTGTCCGTCTTGATCTAGCAGTGTGTTATCACGTCCCTGTAGTGAAGCAATTGTGCTAAAGTACGGATCTTCTTGACTATATACATAGTCCAGTGTGCGACTTTATAAGTATTGCAATATAGGAACAAATAAGAAAGTGAAAAAGACATCTTACCTAATCTCCACGGCAATGGGTTTCTCGAGGCGTTTTCTGCACGCAAGCTCATGATGCTTCAAGAACCAGGACAAAGAGCATGCGTATTTCATACTATTTTAAAGGAGCAAGTGAACCAACAGATCGTATAGTCAACGGTATCTTTTCATTTTTCCACACACAAACACACATACACACACTGTAGATCTTTGCTTACTATATCAATTGTTCCAACAACTTACCGATCTCGATCGATTATGCCTATTTCTTGTGTGCTTGCACCATAATGAACAGAATTTGCACTTTTGGAATATGCGGCGAGTGACCTTTTGGTACACATGTCTTGGGTATAGAGAGGGAACTGATGTACTACAATTGTATTCTTCTTTGTTGTCGTTGGTGCTGTCAAAGGAGGAGCGGACATAGGCAGCGGAGATGCTGGGTAGCGATCCAGTCGTACGCGATGGTACCGTAACCATCGCTGATATTGCGCTAAATAGTTTGCAGGTATACTTGTAGCGTTGCATTTGAGCGGCATTTCTAAATTAAGGGTATCGAACAGAGCGGATACTTTGGAAGGCTGTTTGGTGAAGAGGGTGTTCCGCTTACGTTTCCTTGGAATGCTAGCAGTTGCAACGGATGAATCAGATGGCGAGGATAGCACTGATGATAGTGTTGGGTGACTTTGATGTTGTGCAATAGCAGGATGTGGAGGTAAAGTCGGGTGCTCTGTAATGGATGGATGATGTCGCGTTAAATCGCTCTTTCCCTTTTCAGTTGCCGTACGCACTGGTAAAGATGGTGCTACTGGTGGTAAAGATAGTCTGTTCGACTGTTGCATACGGAACATATCATATAAACTACGATTGTTGCTTGTTGGATGCGAATTCTTTGCTTGGTTCTCTGTTAGAGGTGCGCTAGCCTGTCTTTGCGGCTGCTGCCGGATATCCAATATCATGGATGATGGCTCGCGTCGACCGTTCAAAGAAACAGGGTCCACTTGCCATTGTGACTCTTCGTTCGTAGATAACTGAGGTTCGAAGTCAGGGCTAGTTTCTACAAATAGCTGTCGGTTTGAACGGCGTGCTCGTGATATTAATCTTGTCGGCGTCGCCGTAGGTGGCCGAGGTGTTGCTGCTACTGAGGATGAGGATACTGGAGCACAGGAAATTTGCTCTTCTCGCTGCTGGGGCAGAGATCGCGCTGTTGCTAATGGACTAAAACGTTGAGGGTCCCGCATTGGTCGTGTCGATGATGAAGCAGTAGATTCTGTGTTTAATGTTGGTCGTTCAGACAATTCCGTTACTGCCGGCAACGTAATTTGTGGAGATATTCTTGCTGTTGTTGTTGCTGTATTATTCACTACCAAAACTGCTTCTGGTACTGCAGATGAAATGGATGGTTTTATAGCACCCGTAGGTCGGGATATCGCTGATGGTGGGGCAGTTGTTGGTACCTGAGCTGGTTGCTGCTGATCCTGACGTTGCTGTTGTTTGCAAGGCTGCTTCAACCATTCCGTCAACGATCGAACACGCGGTCCAGTTTCTTCTACACAAACTTGCAAGTCGTTCTCGTCTTCGGATAGTAAAAGCTGATCTCGCTCATCAGTATCATCATTGCTGCTACTGCTGCTGCTCGACATTCCTTGACTGCACATTGAGAATTTCCACACGCCAGTATCGCCCGCTGCACTTTCTTGCTCATCCTCGTCAACCTCCTCATCATTGATATTGTCAGGATGCTGTTTCTCTTGTTCGTTTATTGCTGGTAGCTGGATAAGCTGTCGTTGCAGCTGTATATCCAAGGAAGGCATGTCGACATCCATTCTTTTCAAAGAATCGATCCAAGCATCGGATGCTTGGCTTGGAATCTCCTTGGATCCAATGGGTGTGGGGTTCGATATGTCATGCAAAGTATCATTTGTTCCATGCGTTATTGGCTTTTCAACGTTTTTCGTCTGGCTATTTTCTCGCATCTCCGTTCCACGCCCTGATGTTTGGTTTGTATCAGCCAAGACATTATCAGTAGCTCCAACATGCGCTGATGCTGCTTCTTGCAATTCCATTTGTGCTGGAAGACTCGAATTATCTCCTGCTGACGCAATTGATGGCGCTTCTTGCAAGGATGATGGAGATAGCTCTGGTTCTTGTAAACGCTCATAATTACTACTACCGCAAAAAGGTAAGGATTAGTAATATTATACCCTTTGGAGAAAACATTCTTAGAACAATACATGCAGTATTAGTATACATACATGTGGTCATCCGCTCGCTGCTGAACAGTGCCAAATAGTCTATGCGTAGGCGATCTATAAATCCGTTCGACCAAATTTTCGAACAGCTCAATCACTGTTTGCTTATGATGTAGCATTACTGCCATTTTGCTCGGTTCAAGGTTCACTATCAGACAAGGTGAGGTTTCTAGTATATCATTCTCTGCATATCTTCCCTCGCCACCATCACACATTATTTTTGTATAAATTCAATGTTTACCATCCAGCTGATCCCCATTGAGCTGTATGCTGACAAACATGAATGGTGTCTTTTTCGATGATTCTAAAAATCGTGCAGCTCACTTATTAAAATACCATTTATCCGATCACCATAAAAGAAAGGATTACTAGTTCACATACCGCTGTTGTATCGTTTTCGAGCGAGGGCAACAATTTCCTTCAGATCGCACTTTGCATGGTTAACTGGACGTTTGTTGATATAGACATGCACGCGCTCACCGCGATAAACAGTAGCTGGATCTAGTACATTGACACAAAACAGTTTTGTAAAAAAAAAAATCCTATGCATATCGACTAGCACCGTTCCAGTAACTAATAAGGATTATTATTAGTTTACCTGCGTTAGGCTTGGCTAAAACACACTCCATGGATAGCTGATCAGCGGCTGCTGTGAGACGATGATGCTCCAACATATCCACCAATTGACTACCATAAACTGTTGCAATGGATTTCATGATACCAGTTGTCGCTGGCTTTACCCACTTATTTGCCCCAGAAATGCGGGACAATGCGCCCACTCCATCTACCGAGCTTGTCAAAGCGAACCGAATCTCAGGGTAAATCAAGCTGTATCTTGTCAGCAAGTCTTGGATCCGTTTGAAACTAAATGACCTTTGTATCATTTGTTGTCGCACAGGAACGTTGAAAAATGGCTTGTATGCTGACACGAGTGTGCCAGTATGTGATATTAAGCCAATAGGCTGATGACTATATATCAAGTAATTAAAGTAAGTTTTGTTTAAACTGTTCCTTGTTCTTTATCGCGCTTTTTTTATTCTTCCTTCTCTCCACACACGTTTTATGTATACCTTGTCTGATTACCCGAACGATCCAGTTCGTATTGCATAGCAAGTGTGTCGTTTTCAGTCTTTGTAGTAATTTGGAAGGTTTCGGATAGAGCGCAAATCGAGTTCAGCGCCTCGCCTATATAATTTTCAAAACGAGTCATTTGATTTTGCATATTAAAAAATTCATGCAGATCCCATTTCCTTACCTCGAAACCCAAGTGTCGTTAAGTGCTTCAAATCATCCATAGATGTAATTTTCGAAGTGTGGTAACGCTGGCCCATCAAGGGACGGCTCTCGCTATCGATGCCGTGTCCATCATCTTTAACCTATCGTTTAATTGTTCAGAAAACACATTATATATATAACGTTTATATCTACACTAACGAAAAGAGGGCAACACACACACTCTCATATACACGCACCTGTACAAGCTTCAGCCCATTATCTACGAGCTTCACGTCGATGCTACGTGCGTTTGCATCCAAAGCGTTCCTGTCATATTTTAATCATACGCATGGAACGTTATGCGTCAACTCTTTTTTGTCGAAAATCAAGTAAATATAGTTCAAAAAACCTTACTCAATCAATTCTTTCACTATGGAATCAATGTCGACAATGACTTGACCAGAATGCAAGCGACGCACAGTCGTCTTATCAAGAGCTTCGATCGCGCGATCATGTTGCATTTTCGCAACGATTTAAACCGAAAAGGACGTTTGGAAAAAGAAAGAAACTGACAACTTTGTGTGAAAGATAGGATGAGTGGAGGGTATCTTCGGCCTTCAAAATCTAAAACCAACTGCCGTCTTTCAGGTTAATGCATGGTTTACTGACAGACCCAAATTTGTTGTTGTAGTAGAAAACCTCTGCTTAATCTAATTACTGAAGATAAAAGCAGCTCTCGGTGATGCATAGTCTCTCATTAACAAATGTCAATCATCGTCATACTTTAGGCAATGCCCATGATGGTGCCCGGAGATGGTAGTGGTTGCAAGGTACAGCTAGCTATTGACGACAGTATGAATTCAAAGGTTTCATATTCAAGATCTGTTTCATGATACCGCTCTTTGAGATGCCCATCTGACGCTTCAATGGATGACACGCGACAAACAAGGTGTTATACTTATTACTCATCTTCCATGAATCGGAATCAACAAAAATGATAATTGGTGCAGAGGGTTGAACAAGAGCAAATGAAAAGGATCAGCACAAAGAAACGAAAAGGGGAACTTTGCGATAAGGGTGTTCGTTACCGTGCAGAATATGCGCCATGCTTAATCGGCCGAGCAATGCTTTGATGAGGAGACTTTTTTTTGCTTGGAAGAATTGGGAGTCTTGATAGGAAAAGATGGGCAGAAAGAGCGAAATGTAAGTTTAGAGGTAGTAAATTTAGAGCAAGATGTATATTGTATGTGTACTCTTCGAATTAAAGACCGGTGATGACAAGATATGTAAACCGTTGTTAGAAATTCAAAGAGATGTAATTACGACTAACACGAGAGCGCGACCAGTCATTACTTTGATAGTAATATGTACATACGCAGAGTAAAGAGGCTATTGTGACGCATTTTCTTGCTGGTACTTTTTGATATTGGGACGCTCTTCAAATGCTTCCACTATGGCAGCCAAGTAGGATGGAAGTTGTTCCTTCTTCAATTTTTCATCAACGATCATATGATAAACCTGAAGATCGGCAAATGAGATCTGCATGATGCGGTTTAGGGAACGAACAGAAACTTATATATCAAGCTTTTGGGAGTATAATGGACAAGTAGGAACGAAAAAGTATAAATTAACTCAGTTCCGAGTACGTAGGGCCCACCACTGGCGGCATAGCATTCGTTCTAAGTGCTTAGGAAAAGTTTTCTCGAGATGCTTTTCCCGATCTTTCTATATCACATATAGAGATGCATATAAGCTATCTGCAATAAAGCAGACACAGACGTTGTTTTGCGTAAAGCTTGAAACGTGTTACTTACAGGATCATCCGTCCAAACGGAGGGATCAAAATCGACAATTTGGCTGAGCTTAAGACCCACCTGGAGAAAAATTAAAAATTCCAACTTGCTGCACTTAGAAAAACCGACCACGTCAACTGGTTTTATAACTTTTAAGCTAATCACACGGAACGAAAGCGTCAGAGTATTGATCTTTCAGCTACGACTTGCTGGACTTTATTATCGTCACTGTCGATGGTAGGGTATATATAATAATAGTGATGCAAAATCCGAGATTTACCTATACATATGATATTCCGCGTCTATATAATTAAGTGTCACATTGAGAGGCACGAACTAAGGTTGGCCCTTTAACAACCATGGCATACAACTAAGCCTATATGTATAAAGTCTTTTTGTCCCAGGGAAATATCAGCATAGTATACCTCTAATTGCTACATACTCTTTCTTTCGAGCAGTGTTACCATTAAAATGAGCGCAGTGGCTTCATATTGATTTAGCCTCTCAACTTTGATGCGTCATCATAACCCTTCGTCGGGTACCTTTATCCTCCTTACTGGGAGGATAACACTCTTAATAGCTTTGGCTTGCATGCTACAACGCACAACGTGATGCACTTGACCAGTACTCATCTTTATTTTACAAATATCGTCTGTCTCTAACGATCGTTTTACTACGAAATATGTCACATTGAATCTTTTAAGTGGTCATTTTATATCGAAAATGTTTCCATTTATTTATGAGCTGATGCTATGTTGGTCTACGTCTCAAAAACTGCTTTTAAGGGTGGTCTAATATGTGCGGACTGAGAGAAAAAGATTAGTACAAAAAGAAATCAAAGCTTTTCATGGAAAGTAACTTTCCAACGTAGGTAGAGCCATTCTAGATTAACCCGTTCTTATGGTACTGATGCTTCTTTTGCACATATTATGTGTTTCTCGATTTAAAAAATAGTCTTTCAACTTGTATAACAGACAACAACTTTTTTCACTTTTAATCTATGGATAATTCTATGTATCTTACCCCTCGGTTCTACGACGCTTGATTTCTTTTCCCAATTTGTCTATAATGATACCGAGGTCACGACATTAGTCTTCCAACTGGCTAGCAGCATCAGTGGTTGATATATAGCTTTCTCGTGCTATCCGCTCGACTTTTTCGTATATCAGTTTTCTTCGGCAAAGAAAACCTCGACTCCGTGGGGAGCCTTCTCCATGCCGTGCGGTACGTTTCTTCCAGAAATTGAACTGAAGCCTGCCGTGCAGTTCCAATGGTGTACTCGCGTCAGACATCGGTGACTGTTAGAAGCTTCTCTTAAGCGTATAGTCTTGTGGAGGCGGTGACGGTGATGCCAAAGATGAAGCTTCTATTGGGAGCACATCGCTAGTTGTGGCAGTTTGATGATCAACTTGAAGGATTTCGTTTCTTGCGACGCCAACTTCTGAACTGGGAGCCATATTCGCTGGATTGCGGGAGAGGTTTCAATGGGTTGGAAAAAATTGGAGTCAACAGCTTCTAGAGTACTAATAAAACCTTGTCGCTGTGACGATCCAATAGCCTCAATGTCGCTTCTGATCCCACTGATGTCGCTGTTGATGTTGCCGCATGAAGATCGTAGTAGTTCCGTTAAATGTGGCATAGCCCTTTCGATCTGTATACCTAACGGCTCTTCTTCTTCGCTGGTTCTTGCTGGATAACGCAACATGTCCAAATCATACTGTTTGTATAGTAGGTCGTCGAATATGGGTGGGTCCACAAGAAATGGCTCGGATGAAGCTTTTCAGAAGCACAGAGTCCTAAAGTAATATTATATCAAATATTTATAACAATATGATATAATAAATAGTGACTATGTACCTGAATAAAAGCAATTCAAATATTTTAAGAGTTCCAAAAGGCTTGGACTTGTAAGATCGTTTTGGACAGTCCTCGTCTCGAACTTGTTTTCCCAGTACTCGATATCAGGAAAAACGTTTTGTTGCAAGCTCTGTGGCGGATCGATTTTGGCCCGTGGTAACGAAAATGCACCAGCTTTTTTGGCATAGAAACCAACTAAAGCACGAATCGCTGGCTTCGGAAGACTTGTCAAGTAGCATCCGATCATCTTGTCCGACCCCCCTTCCAATTCGACGTTGATCACTGTCAGAAACATCTTGTTCAGTGATCGACCTCAGAACACTACCGCGGTTGATGTGTGTTCTTTTGCTCGGTTGAATACCAACAGCTCGGAGCGCTTCCTGATGTCCATCTCTTTGCGTATTGTAAGTGATAGCTTGTATACGGTTGACACCCTACAAGACGTGTATGTCGTACCAATGTCTGCATGATGTGAAATCCGGAGCTCTTCCTTTTTAATATGCTAGCGGCAAAAAAGGTGGAATGCCAAAGCTCCAATCGGACAAACTTCTGCACAGCGGTGTCTGATGCCAGCACCGTACTCGACTCTCCCATGCTGATTGGTCTTGCCCTTACTCATAGTAATAACCAGAGCAATACACTTGGTCGGGCATTCATCCTTGAATTCGGTACAGAATAAATCTGGCGGCTGCATAATACGCTTGGTCTCGCCTCGACCTAGTATCGCATGGCCAAGCAAAAAATCCAGTCGGTTGCGCAAATGATGAGGCATATTACGTCCAATTTGATAGCGCGAAACGAGCTTTAGCTCGTCCAACGTATATCCGTCGTTAAGTATGTTGATGCCACGGTCCGTATTCTTCTCTTTTACGCACTGCATTTCCCCGGTCGTAGTCGCTGAAGAAGTTCTTGACAATCGTTCCTCGGGCTGGTGGGTGCATATTTCCAAGGACACTGGCTTGCACAGCTTGTAATACTATAGCTGCTTTGGCATAAGCCTATAGTGCTTCTTTACCCAAGCACTTGGATTTGCCGTCCGGGAGCTTATCTTTCTTGTTTTTGATATTACTATTGGCCACTATCTCTTTCAAGAAAGCAACAAGTTTGGCTTCAGTGACGGTGTCGCCATCTCTAAATCTAGTTTGTTGCACCACGACTTAAAAAGAATAAACAAACAAAAATTAGTGTTACTGAGGTTGATATGCTTTCTTTAAATTCTAGCGCTCTGATTACTAATCGACGCACCTTCCAATGCGCCTGCTTCAAGAGATACATGTTCTTGTGTTTTCTGCCAAGTTCTCGAGATGCCTTGTCATTGCGGATTAGACTTGCTCCTCGAGAAATGCTTTGTTGCGGTCATTGACACTGACTTGAGTGTTATTAGCAGTGCCTGGTGAATTTAGAGTAGGAGTGCTTGAAAACTTTAATTGGGCCTCGTTCCCGTTGGCTCCGCCTCGTCCTCTGATGTGGTGTTGGCTCCCACAGCCGCGCTTTTTATTCTCAGTTTATATATAATGAACCAAGATTTACATGCAGTGTCGAATTTTCGCGTCCGCAGTTCCAAGTGTGCTCTCTCGAGTATCGGTGACAGCACCCCCTTTATGTTGATCTAACTCTACATAGTAGCACGATCATTTTTCCTGCAACAAACGCGTCAACCCTTCGTCAATGTTTTCCCATACTTGTGTGCAGCGGAAGCAATTGCAGATAATTCATGCATCGGGAACTTGCCTTCCCACAAGTCCTGTCAAACTCTTTACTCCTTCCCCTTCATTCTGTATCCATTGATGACACATTAGCAATAGGTTATCAAAAGAAAGGGCAGGTCTTTAGCTTTAACATAATACTAATATCATGTACAGTTACGACGATAAATTGTGGCGGAATATTGCTTTGGAAATTGCCTAGTCTCAAAAAGACGATGCCAGGTTCCCCTTCACCGTGTCTAGAACTTGTTTCTCGAACAATCGAGTCTGAAGCATGCAGTTGGTTCGTGTCAGTTGCGACAGTGCCCTCTTCTTCCTTCCTTTTCAAATAAACTGACTATGTTCATCATTCAGCATAGAAAGATTATGTAGAGCAGAGCCGTGGCTATAGAATGATACCAATATCGATACATTTCTCGATCAATAAACGACGACACTATAGCTAATAATGTGCAATGATTAATGAAAAACGATCGTTTTCTGCTGCACTGTTGACTGAAACATGCATCGTGCTCTTCCTTAGTGTTAACCTCATCGCCTATATGCTCGTTTGGCTATTGGACAACAGATAAACCACGCAATTGCCAAGAATCTAATCGATTGTTCCATTCATTCACAACGAATCTTATATAAAAGGTACACGTTCCCACCCATCCATAGTTCTTTGGCCTCTTCTCTTCCGCTTCTTTCTCCTTCTCCTTCCTTCTCGTCATCAACTGTACGTATAACTCTTGGGAAACGGGATTCATTGCATGAACGTGCGTGTGGTGGTGTGCATGTCTGTCAAGAAGTATCACGACGACTCACGATCAAATCTCTTGCTTTCTTTCATTTCTATAGCCGTCTCCTCCTCGGCCTCGCCCGCCACTTTTTCTTTATTTATTTTTCTAAAAACAACAACGTAAGTGTTACTGCTTTAAAAGAGGAGAGAAGCAAAAGTATACACAGTGTGTGTCAAAGATGATGATGACTGTGGTATTGATTACTCACGATCGAGCCTCTTCTTTTTTTTTATAGCTCTCTCTTGCTCTTGCTCTCTTTCTCTCTTGCTCTCTCTCTCTCTCTTGACACGACGTTAGTATTCTTTTATCTATGCTACACGCATGATGCTTTCTCTTTCCATTACCCGCCGCTATCTACGATGTTGTTATTAACGATTCTTCCCGCTACTATATTCAACAGAGGCGCCTGGCCCCAACCGTAAGCCTAGCCCCATGCGCTAGAGTTCCGTTTCGCCACAGCGGACATGGATTTGGTAAGACTTTCACCTCAGTTTGCACAGAGTTATTATCCTTTCCTAATAATCATTGTGTGGTGCTCTATGTAGTCTAGCTGTGGCTGTCGCCCCAATGTGGCGTAATACCTCGTGGGCTGCCCGCCAACTGTAAGTAAAAATATGATTTTCTCGTGAAAGAAGGGGGAAAGGATCTTTTAAGTATGATACTGACATGTGTGTTCACTCTGTTTATATTACATTATAGGTGGTACACCTTTCTTTTTACTATGCTTTGTGGCCTCTTCTTCACCATCATGTGTCATGAAGTAGTATAGAAGATATGATTACTAACTAGAAGTTAATCATCATGTATGTTGCCCGACGTCTGGTCATCCTTTGGTCCATTACTCAATACTTGGTGGGTTATACCTTGAGTCTCTTTCACACTGTCCACCGGTATACATTGTATATTAGCCTACCAACTGATGTGTACTATTTTTTTCTTTTCCTGTATGCTGACCTTTCCTTGCCCTCTCATTCTCCTTATTTCGCACACCCTTTTCTTTATCGTCATTTATTCTTGTGTACACTCCAAAACTTGTAATTTATATCTCTTCATTTTCCAATCCACACACAATCACCCCTCCTTGTTATATACTCTCATGCAAAAATCATATTTTGTTTCATGTCTTGGATATTAAGACTCAACAATAAAGTATCAGAATCTACAGGAGCTTAATATTTTCGCCACGACCGATGTAATCTAATATTTAAAAGGTTGTAATACATGACATATGTGTTATAAGCTCTCTTCTTTTTAAAAACAACATCCATTGTATCATAGCATGAATAATTGCGTGACACATAGACCACCATCTTGCTGCTTGACAAAGTAGAAATAGTATAGCTTAACATGAGACAAATCAGCCATAATACCGTTTAGGAGAGCGAAACAAAAGGAATATGGATCGAGAAATACCCGTTCCCCGTCGACTTTGTTTGAAAGTTGATGCGCTTTGTTGTTACGTGACGTTTTCGCGTAGATGACACGATGGAGGTGATGACAAATCAATCCTGGCATCAAAGCCTCATTGACTTAGATAGGAGGTGGCACAACCAATGATGATGCATGAAGGCAACGTGATCCGTACTTAGTGGAAAAGATCTATGTCGAAGGTTTCGCATGCCCTTTTTATTGACTGCGGATTTGGCGGAACTACTATAGTGTAAACATTTGACTTAGTGGTTCTTGATGTTTGGCTACATAAGCCTTTTCATTGTTAAAGTAGAAGAAGAAAGAGGAATTTTTAAAGTAATGTACAGTTTGAACAAGACACAAAGAAAACATGAACAGGAGCACGCTATATGAGAAAAAAAGAAAAGAAAATGTACGAGGTGGTGTGGGATGTGGGGGTGGAGCTGAAAATAGTGCAGTGGTTGCTTCTATAATATTATGGTGATGAAGGAGGAGGGGGATGATGCGGTTGTTGTTGTTGATGTAATGGCGACGATGATGAGGGTGGTGATGGACGAAGGTCAACAAGTTCGGATTCATCCTCTTGTTGCGGTTGATGATGATGTTGCTGGAGCGGTTGTGATAATGTATGATGGTCGTCAAAAGGACCGCGTTGTTGATATTGCTGGTGCTCCTGCTGCGGCGGCGATATTCCCATAAAACTACTTCCGGGAGACCTGAACGGATCAAGCGAGTCGGATGACTGCTTGTGCGACACAATTCGCTGCTTCATGGCCTTCATCATCTTCCATCCAAGGCTAGTTGATTTCTTCGGCTCTGTCGTAGGTGCAGTGTCGTACCTGCGTAACTTGAACCCCTGCAATGGCATCCAGTCGCGCCCTTTAGTGTCGCCGCCATCTTCAAAGGTTGTAGATAACGTAGCAGTGGACATGCGTGCACGTAATCGTAAGCTGGCTTTAGAGGAAAGACTCGAGTGGCGATAGAGTGATTTGTGTCGAATTTCGTCAAACGGTGATGAGTCGTCAGATGAGAAAGCAAAACCATTGAATGATGTGCGGGTACCCGACCCCATGTTCATAATTTCTGTACGTTTCGATGGCGTCCTCTTGAGCTTAGCTTCACTTAGCGCATATGTGTTCTCGTCCTGGCGATACATATCATCCTCATCGTCATACAATTTGAACATGGTGTTTTCGCTCTGTGTACGCTGCATAGTGATGGGCAACACTTCTTCTTCATCATCAAGCGTCCGTGTCTTTCGCTTCTTGCCATACCCATGTTTGCCACCGCATAGCACGACTTCTCGAATAATGTCGTTATCAAATGGTTTATCCATATGTAAAACGTACTTGGTGGCGTAACGCGGTAACATACAGATCACAAACGTGACGATTAGACACAGCCAGAACGCGCCTTCACGGAAAAGGATATCTTCGCCGTAAAAGGTAAACGTATTGACCTGGGCATAGATGGCTGTCCATATAAAGAACGTGGCTGACGATAATGCAATGACCAGTACCATAACCCACGTCCAGCTAAAGATCGTAAAGCCCACGAGCGCATTGGCGACTACCACCGCAATACCAGCAATAAAAGTACCCAGCTCATACACGCCTTCCATATCGTATCCGGCCTGACTGAATTTGCCACCAATGAATAACATGTAAGGAACACCAAAACATACGGCAGATTGATAAATAGCATCGACCACCGTGAGATAAAATCGTGATTTGTGGAATTTGTCGTCACGTATACCCATCAGATAAAGCTGTGGGTATTTATACGAGTATTTCGAAACGAGATCTTGATCCAACACACCTAGTTGAATGTTTCCGGTTAGTTTAGTATATGTCTTACATGTATATGCATGGTTGAAGAATGGATAAGCTTACCAGCAAAGATACATGGCAGAGAGGTAAACACCAGGTTGTACAATGTAATGTACGAGTAGTCAAACATCATGGTACCCGAAAATCTAATTAAGTATTTGTGTTTGCCGTTGTTAGGCTCCTGATAATGCATTTGAGCCCGTATGTAGTAAAGATAATTACCCGCAGAATAGCTGATACCAAAAGAGGACCAGTGTCCACATGATGTTCTTGTAGAAAAACGTCAAAATCATTTCAGATGTGCGCAGGTATGACCATCGACCGTGTACCAAAAGGAGCTTGCTGAGATAGCGGAATTGTGCAATGGCATAATCTGAAGCCATGACAGCTTGTCGACCTTCTTCACCCGAAATACCGACGCCAACGTTGGCCTCCTGGATCATGGATACGTCGTTTGCACCGTCGCCGATAGCTAGCGTCATGACCTTAAGACCCTTTTTAACAAGATTGACAACATTGGCCTTCTGCATTGGACTGACACGACAGCAGATGACAGCCATACACTGTGTACCAAGCGACAATAGCTCGTCTTTGATTGGGGGCTCGAGGGCGTACTTTAGTGATTCACCATCAATGACCAGTGCACATTTTTGATAGGACGATTTCTCGCCGACTTCGATCTGAGCTTTTCTGATCTGTACCATGGTATCATGCTCGTCGCGTCCACTGACGCTGATGAGGAGCATGTCTTTGGTCAACAAGTTGCATGCAAACCCAATGTTAATGGCCGTTTCGATTTTGTCGCCAGTCAGTACCCAGATCTTGATGCCTGCTTGAGCCAAGACACCGATAGTTTCAGGGACACCCTCCTGCAATTTGTCCTCGATAGCTGTGCCTCCGATCAGCATAAGCGATTGTTCGATTTCCTCGCATACAGCCTCAATCTCCTCGTCACGGTTCCGGATAGCGCTCGCTGCGGTCTTGTATCGGTCAGCCCATTGCTGGTACTCCTTTTCGGATAACATTCTGCTTGCAATACACAAGGTACGTAATCCCTCGTTGGCGAACACACCAAGGTGCTCTGACGTCTCTTCACGAATACGTTTTTGCTCTCTGCCAGCATCGTCATCCGGCAAATCTTGCGCCAATCGTTCGTAAATGACCGAGTCCGCTCCTTTACATAGCAGCACAATGCTGCCATCCTGTTGAGACCGAATGATAACACTCATTCTCTTTCGGGTCGAGTTGAACTCCAGGACATTTAGCAGGGTAAAGTTTCGTAGCTCGCCTAATGCATCCATGATGACCGTATCCTTTTCACGTGCAACAAATGTAAATCCAACGTCGCGTGCTGTAGCTACCAATGCTGCCTCGTCGGGCGATTGAGCCTTGTAGACAATTTCATATGGGTTATCCGGGTCCGGCAATTCGGGAATGACAGTGTGACACAAAGCCAATGCCGAGAAAAAGTGAATTAAACTCTGGGACTGGGCGTCATCGCTGGCCAGATCGTCGTACACCTTGGGGTCCACAAACGTTGACCGGGGATTGACGTAGCGGTGGTTGAATAATTGGCTTTGCTTTTGGAGCATCTCTTGCCGTGCCTTATTCACATCCATGCTGTCTGAAATTTGAATGTTCGCCATGTTTGGATTATCGCGTTTTTTGGCGCCAATGGAAGCTTCTGTTTCACCAAGGCCGTAAGAGACGCCATTCACCGTGCAGCGTCGAAATTCCATGATGTTTTGTGTCAAGGTGCCCGTCTTGTCAGAGAAGATATACTCTATTTGACCAAGGTCATCGGATATGTTCCAAGTTTTGGGTATACATGCCTGGTCCAGCCTTTCATTATACATGTCGATATCGGTATGGATGAAATATGCCTGTCCAATTCATTTAGAAGCAATTAATTTCTTCTTCTCTAATTCGTTGTTTCCTGGGTTTAAGATTGACTTACAGCTGCGGTCTTGACAATTTGTACAGATATATACAGTGAGATGGGAATGATATTTTGATATATAACAAGTGTCGTCCTAGAGGTAGTCTTTATTTAGCAAAGCAGCCAGGTGTGAAGTCACACACGTGCGCACGTTCATAATTCCAAACATACCAGAACATTAAGAAACCTTCCATAGTGGCGCTTTCTGCATCCTTGCTTTCGAAAAAGTCAGCAGATGTCGGTGTCGAATACACAACGCTGGCAGCAATGGAACAAATGACGCATAGTACAAACAGCAGCACAAAATTGGCAATGACCTAGTGGACCTGTTTTTAGTAATTTGTGTTGTTGTTGTTGTTATTGGGAAACCCGGGCTTGACATATATATCGGCTTATGTTACTCACATGTGGGTTCGTCGCCTTTTCGATTTTGCTGCGTTTACTCGGCGTCTTGCCCGAATTGAGCATGATTTTGGTTTCGTTGCCGGTAAAAAGAACAAGCCCAATGACCCAGCCCGTATTACGCAAAACACAACCTCGAAGAAGTACATTGCTGCTTGTAATGGCTTCAGTTTTCTCGTGTGAAACCGCATCTTCGTCCTCGTCGTCAACGTCAGCGTCTTCTCCCGCAGGTTGCAAGTCGGATGGGGTCATCATAGGACTACTGCCACCTGCTGTTCCTGACATATAATCTTCGCCACTGCCATCCATTTCCACTTTCCATTTGAGAACGCCGTTGTAAGTGTATAAATTTGCGTGTGGCGGCTCGCTTTCGACGTAAAACTCTGAGCGTTTACAGTCGTCGACGGTGTTTATTTCGCTTGTTGCCTGCAAGGACCGCATAATCTTGAGATTCGTTTCGCCGTCCAAATTTTGGGTTTCGACATAGCACAGACCATCTTGCTCGGACGTTGACAAGACAGCAATGTCGGCTGGTACAGCGTCGTCGTTCCTGAGATACACAAAGTCGCCAACCCGCAAATCCTGCCAACGCGTCTTTTTCCATCGTTTGTCGACCGGTTGACGTGCCAAGGAACTATGCTTCTTTTTCTTCTTTTCGGGCTCCTCGCGGCCTGAGCGCCGGAGCACCGAATGCGGAATCTGACCAGGCCGATATGGCATCTTCTTCTTTCCTTTGAACACTCGTTTGAAAGGCGTTGCACCGGACCGTAGTAACGACGAAGCGCTCTTCTTTGACGGTGGTAGTTCGATAAAGTCTGACTGGACAGTTGTCACGCGGCTGAGGTCAAGGTCGTCTTTGGGCGGTGCCTTCTTGAAGGGCCGTTTGAAAAACTGCACAAGCGCGTTCAACCAGCGCCGTGCAAGTGACACTTTATAGACGGCGACATTTACGTTGGACCACTCTCGAATCGTATATGTAACGGCCTTATTGACGCTTTCGTCGGTCTGGTGTCGTTTGTTGTCTTCGAAAGCGTCCTTGACACCGGTGATGATGAGAATGGCGGCAAGCGGTAAAATGACTAGAATGGGCGATGCTGATGTACTAAAGAGGGGGAACATTTGCAAAATAACTAGGAATAAGAAGTAGAGGTTGGCAATGCCTCGAAACTGCTCAAACAGATTCTTTGGCAGGAAGGTGAACCAAGTGTATTTGGCAGTCCGGATTTTGTTGGCGATGAACGTTTTCGATGGCTGACCATAGTCATCAAGTTGATCGCTGGGTATTTCGGTGTTGACATAGATCGAGCGACCCTCGGTGGATGCTGTTGGAAATGGGTTCTTTTTCTCTTTTGTAAGTTGAAACCACTGGACTACTTTTGCCCAGGGACTGCTCGACGCCATGGCTCGTTCTCTACACTTTCAAGGGGCGGTTGTGGAGGGTGGTTATTGTTGTCGATGTTAATGGATGTGGTCGGTGGGTGTCTGTTAGAGAGAGGGGGAGGCTGGTATTAAGGAAGGGACCGGGAGAGGGGAGAGAGTTTGTAGAGAGTAGAAAAGATATATATAGCAGAGCGAGGAAGATAAAGAGAGAGAAGAGAGAAAAAGAAAGAAAAGAGAGAAAAGAGAAGAGCGCTAATGCAGAAAAGAAAGAAGGCCTATATGGGCTTATTTTTACACAGAGATTATATCGAACACGGAAAAGGGATGGCATTATTATAGTCATTGACCATGGGTGATCGCCGCGTATAAGGGTCCCTAACCACCCACGACACCCCCCAAGTAGATACCGTAAATTGCACTTAGCAGTCATTGTAGCCAGCCGTCCGTAATGATCATCATTTATTAGTTGTCACCTTAAATTCCTTCTGCTGATTGCATGCCTCTGTTGCTGTTGTCTAGGGGCATAGATAGTCTCGTAGATGGACACAGAACTGTCATTGCATTAACATACAAATATGTGTCCTTTGCTGGGTACAACATGACCAAACCAGGCTGAACCATTGTCGTGTCACCGACGTGAAAGGTGGGTGGGGGAGAATGAAGAAGCGCTTTGTCCTACGTTACTGCACGTGTTGCAATGTACACTTTGGTTCGGCGCGCCAAGAAGGTGCACAGCAAACCTTTACCTTCCAAGTAGGCAAGTATTAAAAATCCCAGGAACAAACCTAACAATGGCTGCTCTCCATATTACATAGCTTTTTTTTTGTCTCCGCCTTTCTATTGAGCTTTTCGTTGTTAGCATATGGTTCATTATTACTATGAAGAGAATACAACCCCGCCTTTTTGAGTTTGGGCATTCTCATTAATAGTACTCCTAAGAAAAATCGCATACCGTAAGGATATGATTGGCGGAGTGCTTACAGCATACTACTGTTGAATATATATAGCACACAGGTGGAAGCCAGAGGCCACTGAGTCCTGCTATGTTGTCTATCGTAGCCGCTGTTGCCAGCCTACTTCCATATTTACATGGAACCAGCCTTTACGCACAGCGCCATAGTTGACCCTGGTGTGCGCGAGTTGAGCAAATATCGGAGAGCCAATCAAAGGGCTTAGCGTCGCAAAAAGTGCTGCAGCGTAGCAGCCCGCATGACCATACACAAACACACGCACATAATACACATACAATGCACACGCACTCACTCGCAATGTGCTTCTCCCTTCTATCAGCAGAAGTGTGGCCTTTTCCTATTCAAGTCATCCGACTCTCAACTCGGAAAAAAAACATTCAACCATATAATTTTTAGGCTTTTTCTTCTCGCTCCCGTCGCCCACTCTTCTTCTTTCTCTTTTGCTTCAGTTCCTTTTGTTACTCTTGGCAGAGGGGCTTATTGTTTAATATACACGGTATTCGTCGCTTCCGTCATCCATAATGCCCTCCCTATTCAGCCCTTCTTCACCTGACAGGCCCAAAACCCGACGCTGGTCGTCAGCCATGCCACAGGGGCCTCCGCCACCCTCGTCACCGGAGCATCGAAGGAAACCACCGAGGCTATCGTTTCATAAGAGCATCTCCATGACAAACGTATTCGAACCACAACAGCAACAATCAAATCAGCAGCAACCAACAACCCCAGCCCGGAAAATGCGCAATCGACTATCTTCGTTCCTTACCACATCACCGATCAGCCTTCGTAGCAGTAGCCATAATTCATTGGACAAATTGACAGAAGAACCACCACAGCCGTCGGTATCAGCACCTTCACCATTCGAACACGATATCTCTTCACCTTGCTCAAACACTACCACCGCATCGTCATCATCTGATGACTTTTTGGCTTCCCCTTACGAGGACTACCATGTGACCTCGCCAACGCTACTACATTCGGAAAATGCTTATGTAAAAAAGCCCATGGGGCTTGCACAAATGGTACAGACTGAGCTCGGATGCATCATGGAGCAAGTAGACGAAGAGATCGAGCAAGAATGGGAGCATAGTCGTCGGATACTACGTCAATCACTTTCCATGCCCGTTACATTGTCGTCGGGACTTTATAAATAAAACTTTCTTTTTTCGTTTGTTTGTGTTGTTGTACACACACAGACCTCCTGTGGAGTATTTTTAGTAAAACGATGGTTTATTTTGGCACAAATAACACTAGCGGGGACGGAGGAAGCCAATAAAGTAGACAGACCTTGGCATTAGAGTTACCCAATCGCCTGCAATTGTAACGCTTCCTTTTGACTCAAACGTGAGCTGAGCCCTGGGGATCCTCCCAGGCAATCGCAGTGAGCCTGCTACTGAAGGTGTCAGAGATTTCAGCAAAGCCCTAATCCCTCGAGAGGTTAAAAATGTACTTGTGCAGTTCTAAAATTAAGTAAACGAGGTTCCCTATACTCCCGGGTTTTGACCTTGACATGCAGCGTTTTGCTGAGCTCAACCCTTTAAACGCATAGAGTGACATTGGCATAGATCGATAAATGCTATACATTGGACATGTGATACGAGTGTACTGGTAATTTATCCAGCAAAACATTTATTAGAGGACCCTCATATACGACAACTGCCAAAGATGTTACAATGCAATATGCTGGGTACGGCACATCAAAATGTCCTGGAAAAACCGTTGGCAATTTGTACTGACCCTGCGTTCAAAATTCCGTTGGAACACAGAGTGCACAAGCTACAGCATGCTCTAGGAAGCTGCAGTAGATAAAACTTGAAGACACAAAAACCATTAATCGCTATAAGTAAACGCTTTCTTTGGAGAAGCACTACCCGAGCTGCTATATTAACAACGCCCCGAGTTTCAAATTTCCCAAGAAAACAATGGCGCGGAGTGCATGAACGCTAGAAATCTATCACCAACTCAGCCCAACTGCTATCATTCATTTGAACGACCTGTGATATTTATTTTACCAGACCGTCAAAAACATAAATAAAACGTCGGACCATTTGAGAATTGTAGTGAATCGACATAAAACAGAGCCTATCTTTAAGTAGCAGTGGCGATTCCTTCAAGGGGTTATGGCAAAATCCGCTCTACCTTTCTCCCGGATAGATCTCTCCTTTTGTCGATCCTCCTCCAAGGATATATTTTGCCCATTTCTGTCATGGTGGTAAATATTACCAGGAGCAATATGCTGAGTCGACGATAATGATCTCACAATCATTTAGTGTATATCCAAGCAAAAACTGCTCTCCAATTTATATGCATCCTATAAAAAGAAGCATGTTACCTTGCATAGTTAGCAACACTGTTGTGCATATCTATTTAAATATCATCCCTGATGAAGATCAAACATTGGTGTGTTAACGCAACTTTGATTCTTGTGGCTGAGATTATATATGCAGCGTTTGCGTCTGACAGGTACCATGCATCGATATAAATAGCCCCACACGTCAATCATTGCGTTGGTAGGTACCAAGTATCCTCAACTAAAGCTGACGTTCAGTTGAGCAAAAATGTATTGACGGAATTTTCTAAAATATGACAAAGCATAAAGCGTTAATGCCAATCGAAGTATACTCTAAGTTTCAAAGCTTTGATCTGAAACGAGGAGTATTTACACGCAATTTATTGAAATAGTACACGAAAAGAGTTTTTGAATATCGTTTCAAAATTAATAACTCTAATATCTTGTTGCTATACCGCAGCGAGAAGGAATTTATGTAGCAAGTGTTGTAATATAGAGTCACAAGAGAAGGCCTTTGGATACATCAGTTCATAAATGGCGGACAGTGGGCGCACTTGATGTCGACATAGTTCTGGTGTGCACAGATGGGTTTGCTTGATACAGTGGACAAAAGATATCGTCTAGTCGCGCGTAGCCGAGTCGTTATGTTTACCAAACTTTATATTGGAAGCATACTTGAAATAACTGCTCGAGCTACATAAGAAACGAATGCAATTGCTACCAATAAGAATACTAGTCCAAATAGAATACCAGCTAGAATAAAGAAAGTGAAGAATCCTAATACTACATGTCGTTGGAGACCAATGTATTATGCTTTGACAGTGGTTGAGGTCACAGGATAAGCAACAGCCTTGCTGGACCGAAACAAAAGAGTTCAGTTAAAGTGTGTAGGATGCACACGTCCTTTAATCCATGCACGGACGTCTTCACTTTTACGAATCCCGATGTATTCTCGACAATACTTATGTGTGATTTTTTTTGGTGTGCGGATGAAATGAAAAAAAAGATAGAAAGGAAGAGAAACATATACTCAATATTCTTGTCACCGTCATTATAACGTACATAATGCTACTTTTTTCATTCACTATGTATTCATATAGCTGTGAGGTATGCAGTAATGTACATTATTTGGACGAGTCCTGTTTGTTCATAGCTGCTGGATATGTAACTTGCAAAGTTAAGAGATAAAATGCAATAGCAGGAACCGCGGTTTTTGCTGGTGTATCTTTTGATTATCAGTAACGCAAAAAAATCTCTGAAATAACTATGGATCTGCGTTCTGAAATTGAATATTTCAATTTGCATAAAGTCATGATCGCCAACTTTTCTTACCATTTCTAATGAGATTTCATATCCTGAGAGGATGCGTTTCAATTGAGTTGAATGGTTAGATGGATGGAGCAGGAATCTTTGTTATACATATAAAAGAAGATGATGTAAGCCAAATCAATGTAAATTATTTTGTAGAACGATTTGAACAGTATTTTAGACGCGTCAAAAATTCCATGTACAATTGATAATTTGGTAATATCATCACCGGGTACAAAGCTTGCAAGGTATACTCGCTTTAAATCATATCATGACAAAAAGCGTGGTGAAAAATGGCGTGGTGTATTACTAGCTAGCATCTACCCAGTAGAATAGAAAGTGTCTTGATCCTCATCAGCCCGACATAGTGACCCTACCCCTTCCCATCCTATATGTATATTAGCAATGACCTTTGAAATCTCTAATATAGCAAAAGTTACACACAATTTTTTTCTTTATAGACTGATTGTTGGCTAAATCGCACTAGTAGTATTATATATTGCACTTTACAAAGTAAGTGTGTTGCGGTGTGATGCATGTTAAGTATATCACTTAAACATACAAGAAGTTGGCACTCCACAAAGATAGATAATGATCGCTTTGTTCTCTGATTATGTTAGAACTGTTATCGCATGAGAGCTTACAGTGTTTGTTTCGTCCTCCTGACAGCTGCGAAGAAGAGGACAGCAACGTTGTGCAACCATATACGATATCTAGGCTCGCCACCACTATACCGTCGACGAGTAGGTTCTTGATTGGTCTTTTCGATGCATAAGGGCACAGCTCGTTTTGTGCTCTATGGCTCTACTTCATTCCCCCTGAAACTTTATTGTTGCATTATATACTTTTGTGCCACTGATTAGATTATATCTTGCCAAAGTTTTTTGTTCTTCTCTAATATAGTGATACAATAGCCACGGCAGAGTAAGCGCCTTCAGGTGTGCAGCAGTACATAAAAATTCCGCAGAAGCCTGCTGATCTACTCATCCATCAAAGGCTTAAGCCTCTGCAAAATATTTCTGCGCCTCTATGCATATTGCTGTAGTACACACTACTCTTGCTGTGATAATACGAATACTTTGGCGCAATATTATATATTCTGTTAGACAATGTTTCTGAAAAAATTTAACTGCACAAGCTGATATGCTGAGCAGCAACGACAATCGAGTAGTTAAGAAAAAGCAGCAGCAGCAGTAGTAGTGGAATTGACTTAGCATTCAAACTATACGGTAAGTATGCTGTTCTGCTACGTACTATAGACCATGTGCCATGTTTGTTGCCACCCAGATTCCGTTTCTAGTCTCCGGACGTCATGCCGGTTCGCCTGCACTGATCGTACTAAATTTTCCGGTACATTAAGAAGAATAATCCTACGACTTTATTTTTTCTCACTTTCCTTTTTTTCTCTTCGCTCTTCTTTTTTTTCTTCTTCTTCTACTCATATAATTCCGGTACAAGAATAATAATAACTATAATCGTAATACTATAATGGGCGCTATTCAAAGTTGTCTCTCACCAGCACCATACACCGAACTATGCGCCAAAGACCTCGATGATACGATTCTAAGCTACTACGTGGATTTGGCATCGGTCAAGTTTGACGGCTCAGTCGTAAGCACTTCCGACGAATACTTTGGCGACGCTAGTAATCTTATTGACGAACTCGATCCGTTGGAAGAGGAGGAATTGGATAGAGGTATATAAACAATAGGAATCGTTGTGTAACAGCAAGACCAAATGACCAAAACGCGGTGTTGATATATCTCCTCTCCACTTTTTCAAAGACGGTGAACGCGATGGATGGCAAATCAAACGTCATGTCGTCGACAATGCATGGTCAGTCGGTCGCAATCGAAATAGTAATTAGCTAACAAACAAAGCAAAAAACGTTTCTCAGTTTTACTAAAGTGAAGTGAAAAACGAAATAGGGCAGTAGTACGACTCGGTTGCCAAGGTCACCTTTATGGTTTCGACGTGAATACGACCAACTTTAACGATGCTGCACCGCTGACCGTGACGATAGAAGCAGCACGCGCTCGCACTCCTGGTGTGCCCAAGGTAACAGACGCTCTTGCGTCCTTAATATGTCGTGTTTTTGTCCAAGTATACGTATGAGTAATATTTTACATTGTGGGTTTGTACATATATTAGTGGATTACACTTCTCCCTAACGTGCCGGTCAAACCTAATCAGCACAATTTCTTCCTCTTGGGCAGTAGCGATCTTGTTTATTCGCAAGTGAAGTTGACGATATCGCCTGGAGGTGGCGTGGTAAAAGCCAACAATGATTTTTCAGTCGCAGTGCAATGTTACATCTGAAGAGTGTTTACTCATAACAGACATATTACACCTCATTATAGGCACGGCTTCGTTGCTATGGCAACGCTGTAGCTGACTGGCCTCGAAGCCTGAAGAATCCTGTCAACTTGGCAGCCGCACAAAAGGGGGCGCGCATCACACGCTGGACCGACACACAGTATGCAAACGACCCAAATATTCTGATGGATCATGGAGAAACCAGGTATGTGTGAGTGTGTGTGTATGTCCTCTCTCTCGCTACATCATGTGGAAAATATTGTTCTTAAGTGTGCTTGTGTGTGTGTATGCTTATAGTGCGGATGGATGGGAGACACCCCATTCTCGAGAGGCGGAGCGAAACGATTATGTGGTAGTCCAACTTGCTACTCCTGGAAATCTAAGCAGTATTACTGTCAGCACTGAGCACTTTTTAGGCAAGTATCGATTTCAAACATTAAAGTTACTATCGATACACGGGCACTCTTAGCTCATCACACAAATGAACAGGCAATGCCCCTGAATCGGTTTCCATAGACGGATGCTATAGCGTCGAGGTAATTTGGACATATGCAACCACCAGGCTCATTGTGCAGACGCCGCCCAGACTGACCTGTTATTAAATTCATATAGGAGGATCCAGCTTATGATTACACTGCCGATTGGAGCAACCTTGTCCGACGCGGTGCCGTAAAGGAAAATGCGAAAACCACCTTCCAAGTAACCTCCACTGATGTCGTTTCGCATTTACGGCTAACAGTTCATCCAGGTTGGTCTCTATTTATCTCTCTCGTTCTGTTGTTAATTGCGAATAACGAATAGCTGATATGCAATATTATTACCATTAGATGGTGGCATACAGCAAATCTTAGCAATGGGCTTGCCATACCAGAAGGAAAATAAGAGTGATAAACTATTAGTGATTGGCACAGAGGCCACGAATGATGCAGCGTCTAGTGACGAATCGGTTGTCTTAAGAGACAACAAGGGTAGTCGAGGCCGCAAGCGCAGTTATCGTGCTTCTGCAGATAAAGCGACAGTTGCGATCCAGCAGACAATGGTAAAAACCACGCGAGCGAAACGGCGACAGATCGCCGCATAACTCATGTAGATCATCAAAGTTAATAAAACAAAGTAAAATGGGGTATAATTTCTTTTTTGTAAGATAAGAGGAGAGCACATGTACTCTCGCAAAATTGGGTAAAATGCGATACATATTATAATGCAGGCTTCAGAATTTAATGCAGATCAGAAAAAAGCTTGCAAAATTCCCTTTAATCAGAGAAAAAGCGGAGAGAATCTGTTTGCCCTACTACTCTTCTTTTTCTCTTTCGTTGTTTCCACATTCGCATATCCACCACACATACCCGTTGCTATTATGTCTAATAGTCCTGCACCTGGCTCGCAGCTGGCCGACTATTTCTTTGTCGCAGGTCTCCATGACGATGACCTGTTGGCAACCTACCAAGCGGCAAAGCAGGGCCGAAGAATCACCGACGACGATTACTACTATGAGCGACAGCAAACTGCAGTCAATGACCTTGACAAAAAGAACAACAGCAACAATAGTGATTCAAATCAGGTGGTCGAGGCATCACCTACGCCATTAGACGAACCCAACAATAGCAAAAGCAGCAGTGGCGGTGTCAATCATCACACCCCCCATACATCCTCCACGTCCTTGTCTCCGCGCAGTGACGGTGGCAGCAGCAGCAGCAAAAACAGCACTACAACCACTACCACTAGCACTAATGGTAATGGCGATAACCACCATCGAGCACTCCCTACCAGAACAGTTACTCTCCCCGCAGAACTGCATTCTGGAAAGAACAGCAGTGGCCGTATAAGAGATTCTTCGTTTGGCGTCCTCGATCATGTTCAGGCTGTCATTGATCACTTTGACAAGGAGCGAGACACTGCTAGAGACACTGTCATTGCAGTCCACGATCAGCATCGCTTGGCGGAGAAATTTGACACGCACCAACAAGACCAGGAACAGCAGCGCAGGCAACGGTCGTCTTCAACGCATGTAGCAGCCAGCGATCGTTATAGCTTGCATCAGTCACATACTTGGCAGCCCGAAAGTGGTATGTGTGTGTAACTACTCGTATAGAATACAGATGAAGGATTGGATGTCAACATATAAGGTAGAAGTGCGTGGAGGAAGGACAGGATGAGGGGGGAGAGAAGAAGAAGGGAAAGTCGCTGATCCACTGCCTTGTTCTTCTTGTTTGTCTCTTCCTAAGGATCAAGTACTCGTCGACAACGTCAGTACTCGGAGCCACCAGCATGGATGCATGGGACGCAATCGTCGATCGATAGTGTCGCAACGGTGACACCAAAGAACCTACAAGAAAATAATCCAAATGCCGTTGCCGTGCCGAATATTCTTGATCTGCAGTATATACCCACCGTTTTAATGCGGTACCCGAAGCAAAATTGCGTGCCATCGCAACCTTTTCCGCCCTATGTCGCTATGGTAAAAGAACGCCTTTACAATACAACCGGGATTTTAACAACCAAAATATTTTGTTGGGGTTACTGATGGTCTATTCGATCTAGTTTTGCTTTCCAAAAGAAATCACACTACACTACGGATCTCAACCTCCGCCAGAGCGACTACATTCTTTTGTAAGCGCATTTATCCTTTATAGCCAACTCTCATCCTTCATCAATATTCCGAATGGCTTACAAAAGAGGTGGTATGTTTATAGGCAATGACAGATGAGAAAGGAGCAACAATCAATGGTACATGTGTCGTATTCTATGAACGGCTACCAGAGCGGCTTATTAAACCTGTGGATGAAGCGATCCAAGACTGGGTCGAAGAGAATATGGCAAGTGCTCAGACAAGAGCCCCTTTGTAATTATGAAGAGGCTAGAAACATGTGGCTCATTCTGTGTTTTACTATTCTGCAGGCATCAAGTACGGTCGAATATGCGCAACATCTGCAAACCAAGATAAACGAAGAGGAAGCCAAGCGAAAGCAACATGGAGCACAGCTTGCATCACTTACGACATTGAGCTCGACGTCCGAAATTCAACAACAGCGGGAACAATTGGAGGAGTTGGTTCGTAGTGCACAGGAGAACGTGACCCTTTACACAGAACTGCTGGAACCGGTCAAGATGGGCGTATGCACAGCGCAGAATGTCTGGGTGCCCAAGAGTGTCGGTCTACTAGGATGCATGCCTTGGAATGACTTGTACGGCGATTGGCTCCGTGTTTTAGTAGATGCTGTGGTGGGCGTTCGTGGACACAGACACAAAGGTGTCTTGTTAAACGTGGAGAGCGCCGTGCATAACATTATCCGTGAGGTACCGTTGCCACCCCCTGGACGATTCGAGATTGGCTTAAGCATCAATCATCGACCCCTATTCTTCTCTCGACCACCTGTCAACCAAGTCCCTTTATTGAAGAATGTAAGTGCTGTCTAGGCGTCACTTGTTGTTTGCATGCAAGCAGAGAGAAACATGTACTAAAAACGATGGATATTTGTAACATCGCTAGTTCTCACTATACCCAGTGTTTCGAGCATTATCGCCTCACTTGATCTTGGCTATTACAGAGGTAAATATGAAGCGTAATGCATCAAAATGACTTCCTGCTGAAACCCATAATTTTCTTCCCAACAGACATTGCTTGCAGAAGGAAAGGTGCTATTCTTATCTCAATATGCGGGGATGCTTTCACTAGCATGCGAGACGTTTCGATACCTCCTGTTTCCGCTCTACTGGCAATTTGTTTTTATACCCGTATTACCACGACGATTACTGACTTGTCTTCAGGTATAAATCATTTTGTTTTCGGCCGTGGCGATATGGTCTCAAGCAGACACTGACGTACTATTGCTTTAGGCACCAGTACCGTATATTGTTGGGTTCATGGGAGACATGTCTGACGTGGAGGATTATATTGCCGAGGATGTAAGTACAAAGTTTTCCTTTTCAAAGACAACGCCGTGATAACATAACCGGTTTTTTCCTCTTCTGTCTCTCATAGACATGTATAGTGAATCTTGACAGTAACACAATGCACCAATACCATGCGACAATGACAATTCCCGATCGACAGCGAAAAAAACTCTACACAGCCATCGAACAATATGCGCCCCTCCATGGCTCTCGACACCGAATCCCCTATGGCGTCCCACTATCCATCAAGGAAATGTTTCCCAACAGCCGGATGCTGCTCTCCTGTGGCCGTTCCAAAGTGCAAAATACATATGACGCACCACAACGCACCTCAAACACATCCGAGTTTAGCAATTCCATATGGTCTAACAATACAACAGTAGCTTCAGGTGGTACTAGCGGTCGTCCCTTGTCCGGGCTATGGTCGAGCAACGCAAGTACTCGCAGTTCAAATGATTCATCCACATCGCTTTCAACGTCACTGGATGTCCCATTGCCGGCTATGCCTCAGTATCCTGGCAGTGTTAAACTTGCCACACAAGGCTCAGCATCTACATCCTCGCTCCATACGCCGCCCATGAGCCCAACAGCTTCAAAGAATCGTCTGCATCACCATCACCATCACCCTTCTACTTCCACGCAAAGATCATCTATGACAACGACAGGAGTCCAACGGCATGGATCAACTCGAAGTAATAGGAGTGATGTTATTATTCGCAGAGCCGAAACGTCGTCACAGACTGGCATTGGCCGTTTGAGTCGACAATCAAGCTCGAGCGATAGCAGTAATAGTAAAGACGTATGTATTGAAGGATTGTTGCTAGTTGATTATAAGTTTATATAATAATCTTTAATCCACTGTTTCTAGGTGAAAACAAAACGACGCCTGTCGACATTCATGTCAAAGCCCCGTGCTGCATTCCAAGTATGTTTTTAAAAAAAAGAAGCATGATGCAAGCTGTTGTTATACGCTTAGTTTTAATTAATTCTCATTTTACTTGTACAGCAAAACAATTTCTCGGAGACTTCTGTTGATACAGCCGCATCGCCTCGCAACTCCACCGCATCATCGCCATATAGCCAGGGTTACAACCAAGAATATGCCCATCAGCAAAATTGTGAAGTGATGCGTCGTATCAAACATATCGAAGGGCATATTATGACCGAAGTATTTTCTCGCGAGCTTCTTAGCCTACAAGGGTACCGATGTCTATGTGGAAAGCCTGTATCCGAGTTTGCTGATGGTGAGGATACGCGGGTACGCCAGCGCATGTTTATGCGATGCCAAGGTAAACTTTGTGAGAGAGATTAAAGAAGAGAAAGATATGGACTCTCATCGATAACGTATTCCTTTAGAATGTCAATTGGTGACCCATGATAACTGTACAAATCAGATATTACATGCATGTTTGCCTGCATGTTTCAATGAGCGTAAAGTCCAAGAAGCATTTCTGCGCATGTTTGCGTCCCTCTTGTATAATTATCGAACAGGCTTTGTCGACGATACACAAGAACTCAATGGTGCTGCTGCATTGGCATCTACAGGCGACTATTCAAAGAAAATGCAACGCGGTGTACTTTACTTTTCTAAAGAAAAATTCATGAAGCATTCTGACAAAGATACCCGGGTAATTAGTGACATTTGAGCATTCTTTAAAGCTGGTTTGAGTGAACCAAATTTGATATGATTTGCTAACAGTATATGTTCCCGATAATAATAGCCCTACCTATCGCATCTGGTGGGCTCACAAATGTTTACGCAGTTCATCACTGATCGGTTATCTAAATCGGCAGAGGACCCGGAGATCCTTGTTTTTGACGAGTAAAGTGTTTCCTAAATACTATTTTCTGAAACAGACAGTGTATATATGCTAACTCTCTATTTTTATTATTGTTTTATTTACTTAGGTTTATTAAACTCAAGTTGAATCGCTCAAGGTTAAAGTTTGTCAAAGAAGACACACCGTTCTTGAATGACGATTCGTTTAGTATTTCGCAAACAATCTGGGCAACACCACCTAGTGATGCGGCTGGTCAAACATGTATGTTTCTGTACTCAATCATGACGATAGACGAAGTACTGATTAAAATACTTTATGTTTTAACTTAGACGATCGATTTCCAATTGATTTGGAACTTTTAGACAAGTCATAGTATACCATATCAGTATTATTAGTTAGCCCAGTAGTAGTATATTTCATCTTAAACTCTTTCTTAATTTTTCTTTGTGTCATCTATCCTTAATTGTATAAACGTTTTTGTTACAACCATCCCTCATTTGATTGGGAATCGTATAGTTCACTTCATATACTAAAATTACAGCTTTTTTCTCTTTATACCCTATGTATCTTTAAGAACCTGTTATAAAAGACGCTGATACGTACAGTAGATGAAATTTTTGAAAAGAAACAGTAAAGGGATCACAACATTTATGCGGAAAAACTTTTATTACATTGTTGAAGAAGGCCTGATGAGTCCGTCCTGCTTTCGCTTTCAATTACGGAAGATTAAATTGCCGGATCTACCGATGCCAAGGGGATCTCCAAGGTCACATTTGTCAAATCCTTTTTCGATATTCTTAAACTCACTAAAAAGCCCCGCAAAACTTTCTACATCGCTATTCCATCAAGTGGTGAAGAGTTAGTTGATCAGATAGAACACATCTCTTACGAATGACGTCCATTTGTGTAAACATGTCGCAAGCACCGAACGAAATATCCGCTCGGCTAGCAACGGCACTCCAACTTGGCTACCCACAGCAACTGCAAAAGAAGCAAATAGCCGATTCAACGATGAGTGCATCAGTGGTCAAGGCTGCATTAGATTACGATCGGCTCGACGTTTTGTCGCCCTTTTCAGACCAAAAGCAGCAGCAGCATCAACAGTCAACAAAAGAGCATGTCGACTTTATTTGTTTACTGCCGTACGAAATTGTATCGTCGATCCTAGAACTGCTTACTACTGACGAGCTTTTGGAATACATGGACGTGAGCCGCGGGTGGCGAGAACATATTACGAGTATTCCTACGTTATGGCACCAGTTATCAATTACGCATGGGGATTATGACGTTATCACCAAGCTGACTTTCATCGGCACGTACATTCGGAAATACACGATCCACAATGGAAACGACAAAGCAATTAACGGGAGCCTGGAGCGAATGCGTTCTGGATCTTTAAATAACATCCAATCACTAAGTAAGTCCCTTGAAAAGCGGATTCTATGTTTTTATACTTGCCCCTCTCTCAAGAACTTTATATTTTTACAAGACTTACTCACTCTCTCATCTGTCTGAAAATTGATGCTAATGTTAAGCGTGGGAAAATTGCATTTGCACACACAGAAATATCCTTGACTCCGTTAGTTACTTGAGGGACACCTTGACGGAACTTACACTGAAAGCCAATTGGGAAACAGCAGATCAGTCGGATGCCTACACGTTGCCCAGTTTATCGTCGATCTTAATGGCTTGCCCTGGCTTGAAACGGCTTAACGTTGCATTTTCGACTAGAATTATCCAGATACCCGAACCCACGCATGCATCACCCAGCGAGCTGGAATTGACGCATCTCAATTGGACAACCCCGTTTCGGCCAGATGACTCGGAAGTTGAAGCAGTACTCAACACATGCCCAAAGCTACAGTATTTGCAAGTAGGCGGATACGAGGCTTCAGCTCCTGTGATGAAAATCCGGAAACGATACACCAACCTCCGGTACATTAGCCTGGGTGATGTGGAGGCATATGGTCCTGACATGAGCTTCTGGGACGACGAAATGATTGACAAGGAACAGCAATCGGAACATATTGGTCTGCAGGCACTCGCGATGCCTTGCACAAATGATCACGCTTGGGTTGATCTCCAAGCTTTGCTTGCAATGGACACGAACGGTCTGAAGAAGCTGTCACTCTATTGCGGAACCGATTTCCCCGTTGATTCCGACTATTTGATTCGACACTTTAACGGAGACAACCTGAACCTCCATCGAACATATGCTGCATGGAACAACCGTGCTCAAGTCGATGCGACCATCACAGCAACCGAAGATATCAACAACGTGGAATCATCCCGAAAATACACCATCACGTCAACATTTGAGATGGGGGACGAACGAGGTGTCCTGGGTTTTATCAATGCACTTCGTACAGGCACAACCGCTTTAGCACATACCGTATCCCGACTTCGATTCTGGAACTGCCCTGGATCAGCAATCCTGTTACCATTGCTATTGGACCTGCCTTGCCGTCTGCAAGTGCTCCAATTTGAAAACTGCGAGTTTAGTACATCTATTTTGGTTGGTTTCTTGCGAAGCCTCAAGACAAGCCCATGGCCAACGCTCCAAGAGCTTGGGTTTATCTCGATCCCATCTTTTACGGATGATGTTGTAGCCGAAATTGCTGGCATTCCGGGATTAAGGCGTGTCGTTTTATGGCGCTGCCATGATGTCACGGACCAAGGTGTGCTTAGTCTTCTCGAAGAGTGTTCAGATTTGGAAGACATTGACATTGCTGAGTGTAGTCAGGTGAATGACGAAGCTGTGCGCGATGTCAAGGACAAACTGGTTACTTCCAATAATACTGCATTGTAACCAGAGAATGCTATTTTGTTTACCTTCCACCTGAAAAGTTCTGTAAGGAGTATAATTTATTTTTCTAAAAAGATATCCCACCACCTGCCTTAATATATAATTTAACATCATTCCTATCTTCCATTATCCCCATCATCAACAATCTTATTCATAGCAAAAAGCCAAATGGATAATTTTTTATAACCAACAAAACAGTTTCTTTGCGTTTTGGTAGTAAGAGGAACTTTTAATGGGTTGATTCTATGTTAAAATTAATTACATTTACATAACTTGATACTGTTTCTAGAAATGCTAGATATACATAGCCTTTCAAAGAATATGATTAGCGCTCTACCTAAGATCAATTGTAGATGTGGCATAGAGTGGTTGATAGCACATCCATTTCTCTTTACTAGCTTTTATTACTACAGTTCAGTGGCATCAACTCATACATTAGGGGGTAAATCATATTACGTACTTGTAGAAACATGTTTACAAAAGCCATTATCAGTCACACACCCTTGTAGAAAGTGAAGCTGTATCAAACGTGACCGACACGCAAGAACTTTTAACTTATGCTATGTACTAAACACATCGCAATCATTCTAGCTTCAAACAGATCAAAAGTGGATATCACTAAATGCAATATGTGCAGGACAATGTAGTATTTCCTTGTTGATCTCTAGATATTGCCGCCGTATTTTTCGTAAATTTGATATGGTCTATCCCGAAGGTTCAAGACATCAAGGCATGGTTAATGAAAATGTGGCGATGTATGCTATTATTCATCAAGTACGTTTTCATGAGATTTTTACATATGTGTGTTCACTTCATTACTATATAATTCCTAGCTTAGTGCTATTTTTTATATTCTAACTTTACTTATTATAATTTTATATATATGATAGCAACACCACCACCACGTGTGTTTTTACCAGCTGGAAAGGCATACGCTCATAGTACATGCATACTGCGTGCAATTACGTCTGACACCAAAGGTGGAAAAGATGTCAACGCTGCGCCACGTAGTTTTCTAGTAAGATATAGCAAATAATCACCTCTACGCGCTATTAGCCCGTTATACCTTCCTCCTCCCTTCCCTTCACAATTAGCCCAACCAATAACTTTACCCTGATATACAAATAATACTACACACATACAAAAAGCATAATTAAATAAAAAGATGGGGCAAAATTTTCAAATATGTAGCCCTTAATACTAACTTTTTGTTTCGTATTTTTATGCAATACACATTAAAATGTCTGATGATATGCACGAATGCCAAATATCAATGGAGAAATAGTAATAAAAGAAGATGGCTTCGCAAATTAACAATAAGGTGATGAGATAAAGATTAATGTATACTGTATAGTAGATACAGTATGACAGAGTCCGTTTAACTGCTAGTGGTATTGATTCTGCTGTTGTGCTGGTACTTGTTCCTTTGTACTGCCTGGACTATCTGATCCAGCTACTGCTGTAGTGGCCAGCGGTGGTGTTGGTGGCGATAACGAAGGATCAGCAGCAAAATGATACGGAGCACTAGTATTACTACTGGGTGCTACCTCCGGTGCTGCTGGCATTGCTTGCTGTGCTGGCTGCAACACAGCATAGTAATAGCCTGGTTGAGGAGGTTGTTGAGGTAGCTGTGCACTTCCTGGAGGGATTGGGATGGCAACCATTTGTTGAGTTGCATCAGCAGGAGGAGGCGGTGGTAGTTGTCCCGGTAGATAAGGCTGATAGTATATTTGCTGTTGCTGTTGCTGTTGCTGCTGTTGTTGTAGCTCCTTCTTTTGACGTCTGCGTACGCAGACAGCGATGATGATCAACTAGCGGTAGTAGTTTCTCTCTTATTAGAAAAGGTGACCTTTGTCTAACCCCCAGTGTGTGCGGGTGCTAAAAATCACATAGAAACGAGCTTACGATTGCCAGTCCTACCACGGCGCCGACAACTGAACCCACAATACGTCCGATATAGTACCGTTCAATATCGTCGTAATCCATCACTATAAACTCTCGCTCAGCTTACAAAGAGCAAAAAAAGAAGTGGGAAGGAAGAAGATCAGATTAATGCTTTCGTAACCAGATATCTTTTGTTTTATGGACCATGGTGTAATGTCACACAAGAGTCTTCATCGTAAAAGTTGTAGTAAAAAAGGCAATCCATGTCCGCTTTGCCACAGAAAACAATTCTGGTAGGTGTGACCAAAGCCTGTCTCTTGTGGCAACATACAAGAAACACAGGGGCAAAATCAAAATCTTCGCTTTCATTATAATTATCCATGAACTCCCACATATCATTCAGTAGTTGAGGATTCACTTCTAACGGATTTTAATATGCCGTCAAGAGCTATTCGATGCGTGTCGTAAACGGATACATAAGTTTTCTGTGAAAGTGGTCTATTATGATTGCCATTGAAAATAGACCCCATGGGTAGTATTTAGCTTTTATTGCTGCGCCATTTCTTTGTTCACTTGCGACCCATGTATACACGTTTGTAACTAAATGTTTATGTATAACTACTACCTCAAGCTTTTCGCTAGCTGTAACACGTTCGTTTTACTAGTGCTGCTAGCATCTAAAGACGCCTTTTTCTCTTATAGTATGATGCGACAGGCTGAGGAAATTGGACTACTTTTACGCGAAAATCTGCGCTACACCAGGCTAATGGTTATTATTCGGGTACGCATTTTTTGGTTCGAGGAGTCTTTAAATTTCTATCATTCGTAATCGACGCTGTTCTGAAAAGCAACAGGCTTCTTTCCGTGGGTTGGCGGTAGACTAGCGGGATGGTCATTTTTTTAGCTTGACCAGGCCGGTGTGAAAGGTGTTACAAACACGTCTGAAAAGGCATTAAGCTTGTCATATCACGAATGTGTATATAATATACAAGCAAAACAACAACAAAATCATCCAACGCTCCATCGAACAGTTACAACTAAGAGACATGACAGCATATGGCAAGATTCATTCATTTGAAGCGTTTGTGAAGAAAACATAAACACGCGGTTGATATCGTGTCGCCGTACGGCAAAGTAATCCTTACATTTGCAAACAGATTCTATTTCTATGATTATCCGGCCCTTGAGCTATCTTTCATTGTCTGTTGATTTCTCGAGTATTGCACGCAATATAATCTAGTATGTCTACAGTGATCATAGTTGCAATTTCGTATTATATTACAGTAGATCACCCGTTACTATAAGCAGAAAAGTTTTCGAAAATGGTTACAACCAAAGAATGTTGATTCCTTTACATATCAGCTCTATACAAAGCACCTATAACAATGGTGCTGAAAATTGGTACAGTTTCTGGTGAGATCCGCGTCTATTCGCAGAACCACTACGACGATCAAGGACTACCAGTTTCTTGGAGTAAGTGGTTGAAATTCTTCATATCTCTTGGCTTTTCCTTTAAAGAAGTAATGTACCGTCTAACACGCTTATGATATCGCAGTATTTCACAAATTACCATTTTCTACAAGTTGGTCAAGAAGCAAGGATGTCCTCTAAGAAAAGAGGAAGAAGCACTTGGTGTGTGCATGACTGCTTTAATACTCTAAGCTACTAGTAGCATAACGATGTATTTGATTATAAAAGACTGATAGACTGTAGTAGAAAAGGGACTAGCGTACTAAGACTGCACGGAAAGATTTCATAAATAGGCTGTTTATTTTGGGCATCCGGAGTATAAGGAGAGCAAGTACCGCAAGAAAAAGACGCCTGTGGAATGAAAGGGAAATCAGTGACATAGCCAAGTGAATGGTGACAAACAAGCATAAATGAATAAGAACCTATCCGTAACCGGCGACCCACATTCGGGAAGCTTTTGGAATTGTTCCAAATAAATCAGCGTATATGGGTATGGTGATCCGCTTAGAAGCGAGCGATACGTACGTTTGATCAAGAGCCAAGTCGTATTATGCAATAGAAGAGTACATGGCTCAATTAATAAGAAAAATGCTATGTGAGAGAAAGAGAGATCTCGTTTTTGTAAGCGGCTTCTGTCACTTGTATAGACGGCAGTTGTGTACCGTCACAATAGTAAATAGAAGGACGCGTGAATCTTGTAGACGCGTGTTCTTGATTGGGATTGACTTATCAAGCCTCTATGTATGTCGCTTGCTTGATCCGAAGAATCCAAAAGCGCGCAGGTAATACAAGTGATGCTCAGCCCAATCAAACGGGCAAAGAGGAGACGGGTTGCCTTATTCGTTACATAAAAAGAAAATCTTTTTTGTGCTCTGTTTGTCTTTGCAAAAAAAACTTACAATAATTAAAGAAAAAGTGTGGTGAAATGGAGAAGAAGAAAAATTCAGCTATATAAAGTCACACATATGTAAAAGAAGAAAAGATAAAGTGGAATTGTAAGGTTTAAACAGGGAGGGGGGCATAATCACAAGAGGGATGAAGAAAAAAACATTGATTGATGGTATATGTGGTAATGATGGTGGTGGAAAAGCATGTGTTATTGTGTGTGCGTGTATAAGTGAGAAACAAATGTACGAAAGTATATGCGCGATGGATGGATGGATGGATGGATGGTTGGACAGAAGAAGTGACAAGTCGAAGCGGCCATTATGAAGCCGCAGCGACAGTGTCTTGAAGATACGGGGCCCAATTTGGATCTGGCAAAAATGCAAGCTTGTCTTGTCTTGACATGTGATGGAAACCCAGCACCTGCAGGACACGTGCATCTTCGTAAATGGGCATACTGGTCTTCCCTTGGTCATCGTCATCGTCGTTGCTACTGCTGCTATTACTGCTGATGACTGCCTCTCGTCCATCTTGAGCAACGTCGACATGGTGGGGATCGCTGCATCCGACAACAAAAAACGGTAATGAAATGTTGTTATCCTCGCCGTCTATACTGCTGTTGGTGGGACCGTTGAGCTGGTTGCGATGGATGAGCTGTCTGATTTGCAGGTACTGCTCCATCTTATCGCTTACGACGCTGCGCATCTGTTGCGTTGCTTGCATCAGCTCATGCTGTCGCTGTTCTTCTTGCTGAATCTGTTGCATCAGTTGTTCTCGTTCTTTGGTACTGCTGCTGCTGCTGGTGTTGCTGCTGCTTTGTTGATGTTGCTGATGGTCGACGGGCTGTTGGAGACTGGCAGGAATACCAAGCCAGCGGATCTCCTTCTTATCCTTTGCAATGATGTCCATGGCCATCAACACGTTGAGAGCATCGTATACGCGTCGACGGATGTTCTTTTGATCATAGCCTTGCTTGCGACCATCGCGTATCTCGGCTGCGAGCTCGTCCGCAACTTGATTGTAGGTTGTCACGCCGCGCTCCGCCACTTTGTCAGACACGAGCTTGCTAAAGTGGCGTAGGCCCTTTGTGACTGCATTGCCACCAGCACTATTGTTACTACCATCACCACCACGCTTCTTTTCTTCGGTTGCCGCAACCTGTGATGGTCGCTTGAGTCGCTTAATCACCTGCTGCATTGTAGTTGGATTTTGTCGAGGACGTCCGCGTTTTAAAGACTGCTGCTGCTGCTGCTGATGCTGATGCTGATGCTGTTGCTGCAGTTGTTGAAGTTGAACAGGCGGTGTTGATGGTGACAGCGCAACAGGCGAGTTAAGCAATGAAGCAATCGAGTTCTTCCTACTAGTATCGCTGCTGGAATCGTCGATAGGTGACCATGAGCTCAGACTTTGGGATCGGCTGCCTGGCGGTGACGCTGAAGGGTCATCATATTCTTCGGGCAGGAACATGACATCCTGCAGCGAAGGCAGGGCCGACATTGGCTGTTTTTCCTGTACGATGGGCCGCAAAAGGATGATAGCGTCGTCGTCTGTCTCTTTAGATAGGCGGCAGTTTGTGAAACGTGCATCGGAACCATGAGCATGGGAAGCGCCGGTGTCAAAAAGACTGGCTTCGTGTGGAATCATCCACGGAACAAAGGCTGAGGGTGTTGCCATGCTTTCTTTCGGTTAGAAAGTGACTTTGTTTGCTAAATGAAAGTGTGTGGGAGCTAATGAGTGTGTAGCGTCTGCTGTGATAAGAACAGTAACTGGTAGGGTGAAAAGGAGAGTGATGGCGTGGTGGAGGACGTGTGTGATGTGTGCTTTGAGAGAGAGAGAGAGAGAGAGGGTGTGTGTGTGTGTGGTTCGGAAGAAGCGAAAGAGAAGGGAAAAGAGATGAAAAAACAGAATGCAAGTTGTAGAAAAAAAATATTCTCTGTTGTTTAGCCTATTCAGATGTGCAGACCGTCGGTTTTGTCTCGACCCCATCAAGGCAAAGGGGGTGTGGGTGCGTGGGGGAGGGGGGTACTGCTGTGTTTGTGTGTTGGCTTGGTGGCCTTGGGGGCCAGCGCCACGGAGCATGCTCCCGAGCTGGCTGTCAACTTTTTGACACTGCGTGCAGCTTGTCGTGCATTGACCATATTCTGCTACCTAAGCAACCGTCTCTCCCAGCAACACCACTCAACCCCTTTCCTATGCCAACAGATGCTCCTTATTTTAACGTCGCCTCTTCAACAAGTCAGTGCACTGAATATTCTGCTGTGCAGCCTGTAGCTTATTTATACTCATCGACACCATCGTCATCAGCGACTTATTTGGTATCTCATTGGCCCCACATCCACTTTGTATGCACACACATTTGCAAGAGCGCGCCGTTAGCAACCTTGGTGCCCACACTCTGTTCGTCCGTCGGGCGTGCATGCTTAGAGACAACCCCTGGAACTCTGTGTAGCTCATATCTTAGACAACAACGTGTATCGTCGAATCGTGCTGGAACTTTATCACGATGACCGAATTTACACAGTATGAAACTGCCGAGCTCATGTAAGCAGACTACAGGCCTGAAGGAGTCATTATTCCTCATTCCTCGTTACGGTTGAGCAATAGACATCTACAGAGCTCGCAAAGGGTGTAGAGGATGCTTTTAAAGTCACATGTATTTGCAAGCCTGGAGTAAATACCATACTCGTTTATGTAGCTAGCGGTGCTCGACAATATTTATCATTACACTAGCAATCACTGCTCCAAGAAACATGACGGCCGTTGGTAGTAGGACCCCATCAAGGTCGCCCATCGAATCCACGTTGTTGTCGTTGTCGTCGTCGTCATGGCAATATCTCCTTTTTTCAGACATTTCAGTGCGCCAAGATCGGCGCCGTCGATAGTAATACCGCTCATCTTCTGCTGCAGTTGCATCTTCATCTGAATCACTGGTTGGACTATTGCTTGACGACGATGATGATGTGAGCGTTGTCGACACTTCTCCTTCACTGGTTGTAGAGAAGCAGCTGGTAAGCGCTGTTGTTGCTACTGATGGTGATGCTGCCGTTACGGCAGCTGGTGCTACATTGGCTGCAGGAGGAGGAGGAGGAGGAGGAGGAGAAGGGGATCTCGAGGGAGAAAAAGAAGTGGGAACGTGTTCATGCTGGCGATGCGGGTCGTGTGAATGCTGTCGATGATGGTTATGCTTATGGTGATGGAGCTGTCGTTCGTGTTGCTGCCCTGAGTTCGTAATGATAGGAAGTGTGTCTTCAGCAGTAGTGGGGGCAGTATGCACGATTAACTTTACGCGGTCGTGCCCCGTCTTATGTGCGAGCGCTACTGCATCCATGACATCGGAGTCACACGTCAACAGAATCTGATCGTCCTCGTCATCGAGATAAGCAAGTGTCAGTTCCTCTTGTGGCATCTTTGCCGTCATCCGGACCCGGATGGCGTGGCGCACAGCTGATAAGGTAAAGTGGCATCGGAACCGGTACGCTTTTGCGCCGTCGGAGAACTTGAATGAAAAGGTATTGGCCTGTGCCTGCATGGATAGCACCGAGCGCTGGTCGTCGTCTTCGGACGATGCTGCATTGTAGGATATGTTGCTGCTGTTGTTGATGTTTCCCAACATCACTTGTGCTTGGGCTGCTGCAGCTGCTACTGCACGTTGATCATCGGGCTGTGGTGGTGTTGAAGGTGAATCAAACACCCGCGACGAATCAGAAGCCACCGAGTCGAAATCGTGCAGATCGCCTCCTGTGATGCTGTCCCAGAACCTGGGAACACCGTGGGTATTAGAGTTGATGTTATTATGATCACTGCTATGCTGAATGCCGTTGTTGCTATTAAGGTTGTTGTTTATGTTGTTGCTGCTATTTATATTATGGTTGCTGCTTTCACCGGCACTGGTATTGATGCTGCTGCTGCTGTTGTTGTTGTTGTTCCCTTCGATGCTGCTGATCTTTTTGCGTGCATAATAAACGTACACACATAAGCCCACTATGTCCCCCAAAATAAAAGAAGCTACTTTCTCTTCACATATGTGATAGCCTATTTAATTACCTGCTCAAGGGTTGCATAAGTCAGCCGGAGGACATCCACAAGGCCACAAATATTTCGATTGTCGTCCAAGACTGGTAGATTTAGGTAATGGCCATCTAGTGTAATATAAAGTAATCGTTGCATGTGAATAGATGCATGTAAAAACATTCCCTACAGCTCTCTGTCTCTCTCTATCTCTCTCTCTCTTCTGCATCACACTTGCAAGCAGCACCGACGCTTTTCTTCACTTCAATGTACCATGCATCTTTTTCAGGGCTTCTAGAATGCTAGTGGATGTAGTTGCAGTGTCCGGATGCGGAGTCATGACTCGAATCACTGAGCAATTATCCGGCACAAGCCCTGCTGCAATCACTCGAAGCACTATATCTTTAGTCTAGTAACAATAATAACAAGACGTATACACTCGCTTTAGCACACGTCTGTAACACGTAAATAAGAAAATAAAGAAACAGAATTAGCATTACAGTGAAAATGCCTGCAAGGCCACCGTGGTCCATGACAAGCACCGCCGTTGTCCGATGTGCTTTCATCAGCTTAGCAACGTCGCGGACATGTGCTTTGACAGACACCTGAACAGCTGCATGAGGGTAGTTATTGTTGTTGTTGTTGTTGTTGTCAACCAATACTGTGGTAAGGTCTGGGCAAGACATCTTTACCCGTAATGCATCCATATGGTGTACAATTTCGGCAGGGCTGTTTTTGGCCCACTCGCGCTCAACACTCTCCAATGCGTCGTAGAGCTTCCGTGACGAGTCGTATGCACGTTCCATCTTTTTCAACGCTTCGTATAAACATTTGGTGATATCTAATAGGCCAAAGATATCTCCTTCTTCGTTGCATACAGGCTAAATCCAGTAGAATGCATATGTTTTCCTCGATGGTGTAAATAAATCTGCAAAACAATCTTTTTTTTTCCGCACCACCAACACGCACTTTTCTTTCTTTTCAAAGCTACTACACTCTAGAGCACATAATAGCATGTACACGCGTCCTCCAAAGTAAACCTCGTTTTCCTGTTTATCATATTTACCAGATGTCGGAAGCCACGGGTAACCATCAGGCTCAACGCATCTTGTGCGGATGTATCGGCTGTTACACACATCGGGCCGCGTGTCATAATAGCAGATACTGCTGTGGATCTAATCAAGGAGGTATAAGTGTCAGTGTGCTATACACACCATGCTACGATGTAGAGACGCAAACGCGGGAAAGAGCGGAATAGGAAGATTGAAACAAGGGGCGTGGGCAACCCCAGACGCGAGAAAGAGTGAGTGGGGCAATAACAGTTACCTAGCATCCAAATGATTTGCAACCACGCGATACGCCAGATCCTTTGCCTACCCTACACGCATTTAATAAAACACACGCACACACGTACAGTACACGAGCACACAAAAGGAAAACTATAATGCATGTTCTCTTCTTCTCTGCAATTACGTATTCTGTGATTGCTTACCGTAAATATACCGCTCAAATGGTCCTCTTCATCCACCACCAACACACAGTCGTTCCGCTTTGCGGCCATCAACTGTGCAGCTTCAACAACAAGAACGCTTCCTTTCATTGTCAATGCTTGGGATGGTCGCAGAGCGGATACTGTGCCGGCAATTTTCTTGGTCTGTCGGACCCGTGTACCGTAATTCCGTTTTTTTGACAGTTCCTGCTCGATTTTTTTACGTATCGCCTGTTTTTTTTTCGGAAATTGAGAGATACAGACGTTTCAAGATAACAGGGGAGACAACAATAAAAGAGGGAGCATTATTAAATAGTAATTAAACAGAGCAAAGTGGGAGAACGTGGCGAAAACGTACTTGGTCTTTTTTGGACTGGCGTTGTCGACTGCTGGTGGAAGGCGATTCGACATCGTGCACTGATGGACTCATGGCCGCCGTGGATGAACTCATTGAAGACGACATTCTAAACGATCGTCGTGCGTTGCTTGAGGTATTATTAGGTACAATGGACATTATGTGTAAATAAGTATAGAAAGATTATATAAAAGCACACAGAAAGAGAGACAAGGCGAAGGAGAGATAAAGAAAGGAAGAAAAGAAGGCGGGTCAGGAGGTGTATATGTTGTTGTTATGGGGGCTTTTAGAGGATAGTGTGCATCGTATATACAGGCAAGAAGGCGTTTCAGCGATCTTTGTGTGTATGTTGTGCTTTCTGCTGCTGCTGTGCTGCTGTGTGCGTGCTTCTGCTTATTGCTTTGCCAAGCACAGATACACACTCTGCAAAGTACTTTTATCTTATTGTGTTTCGCACTGCAGCCTCGTACATATCATGTTTTATTGTTTCTTCTCCTTCTACTTCTGGCTCTGTGAGACTTGCTACCGCTTCCAAAAGTAGAATCTTTTGCAGCAGCAATTTGAGAGAGGAATACATGTGTACGCGCCGTCTCGTCTTCTACATATACACGTAATGTTCAAGCTATATATAGCAGCAAGAAAACTAGGTTTGTGACTTATTGTTTTGTAATAGTTGCTTTACTCACAACAAACAAGTACATACGTATTCCACAGTAGGATATATTCACAAAGACGCTGTAGACGAGATAATTTGATATTCACTAGGTCCTTTTTCATTGTATATAGAGGCGAAGATGTTGATACTTATGATAACCTCCAAAAGCCCTTACTTCGTGCTCATAATCGAGAAAAGAAACTCTTGTAAAAGATAACATGGAAAGTGTTGATTTGCACCCGCAGCCTGCAGTTTCCTGCAGTATCATTTATATTTGTTTATGTAGCCACTATATTATTACTATAGGACCAAACAATAGCCAGAAATCCGCATGTATGTGCGCTCAGCTCTGCATATAATAAGAAAGAGATCATAGTAGTATCATAATAGTGGTGGCGCCTGTTGCAACATCACACTAATTGTGCATGCTATGTATTAGTCGTGGCGGCGCCTGTAACTACATCACACTGACTGTTTAGTCGTGTATGGAGAATGATGATGTGTTTTTTGTTTGCAGAAAAGTCGTCTTTTGTATTTAAAATTCAGTAGCAACGAAATTAGTACAGTACTATATAGAGTACACCCTCTATCAGTTTATACGATAATGGTCCTTCTATACTAAGTATCATCATGGCCAGGGTCAAACGGTTTTTCTTGTATCATCCTTCATCAACCATCTGTCTTATTACGCAACGTATTTCTAGAAAGCGTACATATTGCTTTGTACGATTCTGTCAACATAGATGTAGCGACATGCAGTATTTAGGTAAGCTGAAACGTGGAGCAAAGAGTCCCCGCGCTTCAACAAATCTTTTGTGTACGCTCGTGACTTAATATTGCTACTCATCGGTAGCATTTAGCAGAAAGCAACACTATTATGTTTCAACATGCATTTGGTGAATTTGTCATATACAATCTCACATTTCTGTGTATGTGCTCTGGACATTGAGGCTCATTAGTAGATCTAGGCCTTATGTTATCATCTTTACTACCTTTTGTCAATAAGAAGAAGACATACATAGTACTAGTATTCGGTCCAAATAAAACACTGTATCGACTCATCATCATTCTCCATTTTGGTTCGGGTCACCAAGCGGTAGGTCTCACATGCTTTAGGCTTTTGATTTGATGGGTTCTCATTGCTTCCTTTATTAAGGTTGTAACAGTACAGTAATATTTGAATTACACACAGAGAGAACAGCTATCATTTTGCTACTGTGTTCTTCTAAATATCCTAGCCGATTGTGACTATGACAGTAGCGACTTTTATATACTCGATTAACAATGACTTAACAACATACAACACACTTTTTCGTTCGTCATGACCACACATTTAGTTAGTGTATGATCTGAGAGATTTTTCAGTTCAGGGTATGGCACCTTTTGGCATATGAAAATCTATATCACCATCTGTCTTCAAAAAGGTAAAAACCTGGACATACGATAAAAGCAACATTCTACATCGATGGCACCCCAGTTCTTGTGGATGAATATGAATAAGAAATCCTTAACAGATATCAACAGTTGTTGAATGGAAAGAATCAGAGATTTTAATAGTAGCGAACCCCCTCCCCGAACATCGCTGAAGTGTTGTCCGTTAACTTGCCATCTGAGTCACCTTTGTGTATATATTCCGGAAGGAACCAGAAGACTGAGACTCGGAGAATCGTTCAGCCTTACTCCGCAATGCAATAACTCAGATAGCTCACACCCGACAAGTGAGTCAAAATAACCCGAATGATTTGGTACCTACATTTCAGGTCTCTGAAAAAAAAATCTCTTTCTTTTTTCACATACACACCACCAAAGAAAAAAAAGCCTAGTGCTTTGTTTAAAAGAAAAAAAAGACCCGTCATTTCCCTTTTTCTTCTTTCTTAAAAAGTAATTCATAATGTACGGTGCAAAGAGCAGTTCCTTGCTCAACACCGTTGCTCGCCAAAGCGGTCTCACTAAACAACTCGCTGCCGCTCACAGCACTCCCAAATCAACAGCATTTCTTACGAATTTGCAATCACGCAATGTCAATTTCGCGTATACGACGAGCCGAGCTTCTTCTCACTTGAACAAGCAACCAACTACTGAAGACGATCAGCAACAACAAAAACACCCGAATCACCAGCAGTATCGATCGGTAGCTCTGCATCGTACACCTGCCAACTGGCACCAACTGGCCAAAATCTCCAAAGTGCCAGTAGCTCGATTCAACCATGTTTTGGCAGCTCAACAGGAACAGCACAACCCAGAACAACCTACCGCTGAAAATGACGCCAGTATCAACAATCGTATCATGAGCGCTGCCAAGGCTAAGGATCCCGAGGCCGTGGTTACGGAATTCTTGGCCGGCCGTACGTCGGGTGCGTCCATGTCCACACAGACATACGATGCCGTGTTGGATGCCTATGGCACGCTTCGCAAGAACAACCATCCATTAACTGCCATGCTGACTGTCTACGACGATATGGTGGAAAATGGCGTTCGTCCAACATCGCACACCTATGCAACGCTGATTAAGTTCTTGTGTACCCGAGACGACGAAGTGCACAAGACAGTCAGCATGTTGCGACGCAAAATTGCTCGATTCGGTGTCGAAGTGTCGAATCTCGGCGACCTCGAAAACGAAAACAATCTCGCCCGCGCCATGGCCTTGTTTGAACGGGCCGTCAGCGAACAGTGCACCGAGGATTTCGATGTTGAACTCTACAACCATATGCTCAGCATGCTTTCCTCCAACGGTCAAACCAGGGACGCATTGTACATTTACGAACAACTGGAATCATCCAAGACCGTCAACCCGAACAGTGCCACTTTTGCCATGCTCATGACCTTGTTTGGCTATGCTGGTGATTTGTCCGCTGTCCGCGAGTGCTTTAATGAATACAAGGCTGTCCGTAACCTGCTTCCCAAGCACGATCCGGCTTACGTGTACAATGCGTATGTGTATGCTCATGCCGATGCTGGAGATCTCAAGGGCGCGTTGAATATTCTCGAGAGTGTCATGGTCAAGGATCGCGTGCGCGTCACGATCGTCCCTTACAATCGCGTTCTGAATGGTGCCACGATGAAGAACGACTTGTCGTTGGTGGACTCGCTCTTGACCAAGTTGGAGAGCAATAACTCGTTTCCCAAGCCAGATGCCAATACCTATGGTATTCTGTTGGGCATGTATTGCCGCCTGAAGCAATTGGACAAAGCCGACATCATGTACACCAAGATGCTCCAATACGATATCTCCCGACAGTACGGTCGCTTGGCCGACTACGTGTGTCTATTGCGTGCTGAAAAGAAGCCCGATCAATGCTTGGAAGTCGTCAAACACATGAACGAAAAGGGCTTCGAGCTGGATGTAACGATGGCTCGAGAGGTGGTCATGGGCTATTTGGATACCAAGGAGACAGCCAAGGCGGTCGATGCGCTCAAGACGGTTGTCAACGTGTATGCCTCGTCTAGCTTCATTACGGAGCGCTCTCCTCTGTTGGATGTGGTTAGCGAGTTCACGGTCAAGTGCAATGATTTGCATTCGTCGGTGCAGGCTATGCGTTTCATGAACAAATACGGCGTCAAGTTGGACAACCGTGTCGCGAAAGCAATTTTGGAACAATACGATGCAGCCAAGAAGAGTCCACAGGCATGGGAAGCTTTCACTAGGGATGTGAATACACGCGATTTTAATACGATCTACGAGGCCACATTCAAGTCAGATATTCGGCCCAATGTGTTCAGCGAACGTATATTCGAAGTGATGAATGATATGCGCAGTTTGAATGTTGAGCCCACACTCAACTTGTATGTTCGTGTCGCCACACGATTCAAGAAGCACAAGGATGTTGAGTCGGATGCCCGATGGCACAAAGTGTTTGAGCCGTATCTTGCGCAACTTGAACAGCAAAAACAGTCGGGTGTTGACACTAACCAGCAGCAGCAGCTACAACAACAACACCAGCACCAGCAACAGACACAGCAGCAACAACTAGGAGACAAAAAGTCGGGCATGTCAGAAGTGGAGGGCTGGACGGTTGAATCAGATTTGCAATCGGGCGCTGCTTTGGATCTGGCTATCCAGGGCAACTTCAAGGGTGCTGTCGAGACGCTTGACCAGCAGATCGTCAAGAAGGGACATATTCCTTCGCCTGATGCTGTTCGCGACATCATCCAACAGGCAACGCGACAGAAAAATCTGCAAGGCGCAGTGCAAGCATACAATGTGGTGATTGATTCGTTGATGCGCCTGCCCAAGAACGTACAACACCGAGCACTTCAGCACGTGTACAACAGCATGCTTGTCGCCTATGCCCGTGTCGACGACTTGCCGAATGCACGCGAGTTCTACGACATGATGCGTCAGCGAAATATGATCCCTGACGGTGATGCCTACGGCTCGCTCTTGACGTGCACAGCCAACACGACCGCTGACGAATCGATGGACGCATTGGATATTTATGACGAGGCCATGAAGAACAAGGTGCGACCCACGGTCTACTTTTACAACGTGATCATGTCCAAGCTGGCGAAATGCCGCAAAATTGACCATGTCTTGCGCCTGTTTGATGAAATGAAAAAGTTTGGTGTGCAGCCCAACTCGATCACCTATGCGGCTTTGATCTCGGCATGTATTCGATGCAGCTCCGAGGCACGTGCAGAACGCTTCTTCCAGGAAATGTTGCGCTCGCCAAAGTACTACCCTCGCATTGGCGTGTTCAACAGCATGATCCAGTTCTACACACAGCAACGCCCGAACCGTGACAAGGCCTTGGAGTACTACCATCTGCTGCAACAGTACAATCTCAAGCCGTCTGGTCATACCTACAAGCTCTTGATGGAAGTTTATGCCAATATACCACCTTACGACATGCTCGCGGCGCACAAGCTTCTGACGGATATGACCAAACGCCATGGCATCAAACCTGGTTCAAGTCACTTTGCCACATTGATCCGTTCCTATGGCTGTCTCCATCGCGATGTAAGCTCGGCTGTGGCGGTCTATAACGAAATGCACAAGGCCCACGTCAAGCCCGACGAGAAGGTGTATCAGGCGATGCTCAACACTTACATTGACAACAACGACATGCAGGCTGCTGAAAAACTGTACCAAGACATGCTCGCCTCGGGTGCTCACTCGTCACCGTACATTGAGAATCTGTTTATTGCCGGCTATGGTTCCCGTGGCGACGTTGAAGACGCAGAAAAGGTCTGGCAACGCATGGTGGATGTCAAGGACGACAAGAAGCCGGGTGCGTTGGTCAGGGAGCCAAGTACCTATGAAGCAATGGTCAAGGCATACATGGCCAACAAGCAAACAGACAAGGCGCTCGCTGTGATTGAAAAGATGCACAATGGAAAGCGTAACTTCCCTCTCAAGGTCATTGATGGAGTGCGTGCATCGCTCAAAGCATAAAAAGGAAAAGTTATATAATTTCAATCCATATTCTACTACACAAACACTACATATCCATCCACTTGGTTTCTTTCTTTCTTTCGTTTCTATCTCTGTTGCATATCATGTTACTCTCTCTTTTTGTACATTTGTTGGCATATACTTTCTCTCTCTTGTTTAATACGTGAAAAATTAGTAATCCGTCACATAGAAGGTTTTATTTATAAAGCATTTGCGTGTGTGTGTATTATTAGACTGTAATTGATAAGATTGTGCTGAGGTGGTGTTGATGACAATGATTGGTGAATAGGTAGGATAAGGAGGAGGGTGGAGGGGTATCATGGGTTCCGTTTCGCTTCAAACTGTCGGCCAAGGGCCTCGACACGCGTACCAGTGGTCCGCTTCCAAGACGCGACAAAGGGAGCTTGTGAAAATGAGGAGGACATTGACTTTGACCGAGGCTTTGTTGGCTCGACGGGAGCGGGTGCGGATGAGTGATGTGTCGGTGGTGCCTGTGCTTTGTGTTGTAAGGAAGAAGATGAAGATGGTTTGATATGGCTACGACTTGGTTTCGCTGGCGGTACACGCATGACCTGAGAGTCGGGCAGTGTCTTTGATTTGAAATGACGAGGCTTAGAAGGTACAGGAGGGGATGGGAAGATGTCACGGTAATGGTCGACAAGACAATGGAACAGAGTGCGATCGATGCCGAGTGTCGGAATGAATACAACGGCCAGATTGGAGGTGGGCATGCGGTTGATATCGCTATGGTCCGCTACGTTTTTCAGATGTCGACATAGTCGCCGCAGTAGCTGCTGATTGTGTGTAGGGAGCTGTGTTGTGAGTGTTTTTACAGTTTGTAAGCCTGCAGCTGTGATGGCGTCGTCCACATCGTCGGTATCGTCGTCGTTGAGTTTTGGATACATGTCGGGTGGGATGATGGGTTCCGGTACTGTTGGCACATGATTAGTAGAAATCCACACACACAAATATTTGTCAACTTACGTTCACGTAGATACATTTTCAGCAATGTGCTGACAACGTGAGGCTCTGGCTCTAACAGCTGTAAGTCGACATCCGAGCCTTTTACGCGATACAAAGTTGTCAGTTACTCTCCCTTGAATGCTGTCGTGCTAGTAATTGGTGTTACCTGTATCGAACACAGCACGCAATTTGTTGACCGCTGTCAGACTGCCGGGTATCCTGTATAATCCTACTTCCCGCACGCCTATGCAACAAACGCCCTTTTAATTCCACTGGGCTATCAACAGAAAAGAGTGATGATGATGGAATGAGATGTAAAACCTTAAATATAAACTTACCATGCATATCCAAATAATCCACACATTGGTTCACCAGCGGAGGCAAGCCGCCATCCAGTGGCACTGCCTGCTCTAATGGCACCCCAAAAACAAGTCCCAATGTTGTCGTGCTGTTGGGTCGTGTGGGTAATGCTGGAGCATTCGATGAATCTGTATATTATATCGTATGACTATCATCATAAGTATATGGCGTGTGCAGCACGTCTCACTGTTGTTTGCTATCAAGACAACTATACCTCGTTCAGCTAGTTCTTTCTTCCACCGATCGACAGCTTCTTTTCCTTTACGACTCCATTCGATTCCGGTTTCACGGGCATATTGACTGTACAATGCACCACGTAATTTCCATTCCGGCAATTTTTCTTGCATGGTAGCGTTCAATTCGAGCTTTTTAGCCTCCATTTTGGTTCGAGTGTCGCGCATGAGCCGAGCAAATCGATCGTTGCCACTGTCATTGTCGTCACTGCTCGTCGTTGATAATGGTACACTGTCTGGCGATGAAGGCGCCATGGTTTTATACTTGTTGAACGACGGGGCTTTTTTGTTTCTTTCTCTGTGTGTGTTGTATGTATGTGTTTGCTGGAATAGAGTTTGTTGCGGGCGGTAAGAAAAAAAAAATATGTGGGTCGGTTGGCCCGTCAGTTAACGCAGCCGAAAAAAAAAATAACCTACGCTATCACCACAACCACCGTCTCGTTTGAATTTTTGCTACCAAGTAGACCCCTCTCTCCGTCACTCTTGCATCTATCTCTTCTCTTTTCCTTTTTCTCTTTAGCCCAGTTGGATCCTACAAGTCCACCAGTGATAAACCTGTGCTTATTGTCATTGTACGGCTATCACTCGAATAAAAGAACAGTGGTTGTTGACCAATATTTAAATTCCTTTTGTGCCGAAAGCAAATGATGAAAATGATGTATGCAATGCAAAGCGGAGAGTGTGTGTGTGTGTGAGAGGGGTTTTTTTATGTACAATATCGTTCTCTGGAGGTGTATTTTTCTTGGGGGTTTGTTGGTTGATTGGTTGTTGGTTGACATGAGAGGGAAGTAGGAGGAGCAGGATAGGATGACTTATGACTTTGGGGGAGAAAGAAGAAGGGGTGCTCCGAGCGATAGAGAAAGTGTGTGTGTGTGTGTGTGTCTGTATGTATGTGTGTATGTATGCACTTTAGGGTTTTTCTTTATGAGTTTTGATGATAGTTGACGATAACCGCAATGGATGGTCTCTTTGCCTACAAGCTATGCCGGTGTGGACTAAGCACTACAACAACACACCACCTATATTTAATAAATACATGGGGAGTCTTTTTTATCTTTAGCTAGAAAATTATTGCTTTTACCTAGGAAACAACTTCACGCATTCATCCGACATACTGTTGATGTTGATGCTGTTGCGAATGCATAAAATAGTCATGACTTTCTCGACGTTGCTCCTCTTCTTCTTGTTGAACAAGCTGTTGCTTTATGAGTTGGAACAGCCGGTGTTTCTCGTTTCGTAATTCCTGCAATCTGACACAAATATCCGCTTTCGTCATGCCCCCGGCAACTGTAGGTTCTGGCGACCACGAGTTTGTAGAAGAAACACTACTATTGCTGCTACTGCTACTGCTACTGCTACTGCTAGCAAGATCAGCCGGTGGTGGTGGCGTGGACGCTCTCATCTTAAAATGGCCATCAATGGGCGGAGACGGTAAACCATTTTGTACAGCAGTTGCAGCGGCCATGGCAGAAGAGAAAGAATCGGTAGACGATCTGCTTTGACGACGATGTTGTATGGCCTTGCTGATAAGGTGATAATGCGGTGAGCGATCAAAACTGTAGGTTCTGGGTTCGTCGTATCGTGAACGGGAGTGAAGATCGAACATTGTCAAATGGGGTAGTATGAGTGAATGAAACAAGGAAAAGAGGCATAGAAAATGCTTTGGCGGCTCGCACTGCTTCATATAATTGGGCTTAGAATTACCAAAATTGGAAAAGAAGGAAGATGAATTGGTATGGTGGAGGGGTCAAAGGCATATATGTTGTGCTACCACGACCACAAAAGTCTCCTTTCATTGTTACAGCTTGACTCATTTAAAAAGCTTATTTTGTTTAGCTCTCAAGATGAACGACGAAAGATTACGTGTATACAGAAGCCTCAAGAATGATAAAATGCACTCTTGAAAGAAGGAAGTGTGGTGGAATACACCCTAGAATGTTCCACCGCAACAGTTAAATTTGACTTGGAACAATATAAAAACCTTTATAGTTATTGAGAGTTAAGGGGGTACTACTTATAAAGAAGCCGTACCGGTCATTCTTTAATGGCTCGTTGTTGTGCCGTATAATCCGGCCATGTATTCCTTTCGGATGGTTTATCGCTTTTTCCCCTATGGAAAGCATAGCAACAGGTAGTAAAATTCCTTCGTCACTCTACTCAAGTCCTGAATATGCGCAGTAAATGTAAGCAGAGCTAAAAAAAACAATAAGTGAAACCATACAAGACATCACTCGGGCTATCTAAGTTCACTCTGTATACCAGGAATACCTCATGTCTTGTTTTACTTCCTTTTATCGTTATCATTGCCAAGTACATGTCCTCGACCCCCGGAAGTCATGACGATCCTGTGGTATACGAAAGTTGTCGGGTAAGAGGGTTTTAAGGCGTCGTACAGTGGTTCTTCATTTATAATCAACATCAAAGGGGTCTATAAAGTGTTGAAACTACTGAGGATTGACACAAAACGAGGGTGATTTAAGCAGTGTTCTATGCTTAAAGGGGGTATAGAAAAAAGTTGAAATAACTGAGGGCTTATCTTATTGAGAGTGAAATTAAGCGGGGAACCACTGTATTAAAGTTCTGTTGTAAAAATGGTGCAATGGAAATCCACGCTTGAAGTTAGTATATTCCCTTCTATTAAAAGTGGAGGATGTCTTTCATCTCCCCTTCTATTAGCACGTCGACAACTGCGATATTTTGATCATGTAGCTGTCTTTCACCTTTATTTAACTATGTTACCTATAACTTCATTCGCCAGTTTTAGAGGACTACCGCTTCGAATTTTGTAAGGGGTCTTAATTTGAGTGATCAAAAATGCCTCCTCAAGCAAAGCAGCTACCGAACGCGAAGCTAAATGTCATGTCAGAAAAGCAGTTCTTCTTGCTGTCAATTTGAAAAATTCACCATTAATTCTATACAGTAGATTTTTCTCCATGAGCGGAAGAAACTCAGGGTAGACGGCCAAAATTGAAAACAGACTTTCCAGCCTTTCAGTTTCCTTTGTAGCCACTGCCTGGTGAGTACTTGTTGCAGCTAGAAGATACTAATGTAAGCGTATAAGCTAAAGTGCTCGATTCAAACCGTCGAGCAGTTGACGGAGTGGATACTGGTTGCTACATTCATTCGCCCACTATAGCCCAGGGTTCGTCATCAAATCCGTATTTCACAGTGGAATTTCGATGTGTTGCAGCATCTAGCTCATCAACCTAAAAGTGCAGACAATGAGACTAGTCAATCACATGTGTCCCATACAACTTTACTTGAAGCTGATACTCACAGTTATTCTTGGTAGGTATCCAATTGTCCTTTTTTGCTTTTACAATAAACGTTTTTCGATACTCCAGAGACAACGGAGTTTCGGAAGCTTAAGCATGCTATCAACAACATTGGTACAGTATTCAGTATGGAGAGTAAACATGATAATCAAAAAATCTTATGAAGTGGGTGTCTCCTTCTTCAGATCCAGTATGTAAAAAAATGTATTCAGTGACTAAAATACAGATATCTGAATATCTGATCGAACTACTCGTGACGAAGTCTGGATTGTACAGTAGTGTGCTTCGTCATACACGTCCAAATATACAAGGGACAATATCATGCTCAGTATTATGAGATGGTTACTGAATACAAGAAGGATAAGTGTGATAGCGTTATGTTTGCTTGCGCACCATAAAATATGTAAGCATTTTCAGTCAAATTGTACATATACAGTTAAAGAATTCTTTATTGTCCTGTAGTGTAGTGTAGTATAGTATACTATTTAAGCGTGTGATAAGATGAAATTCAGTAAGTACGTACAGTAATGTTCTAAAAACTTCATTGTCGATGGCCCTCATTGGTGATATGTGCAACAAACAGAATAGGTTAGCATGATCTCTTCTTTCTCTTCTGCTTCCTGCTCTTTTTTCAGTTTTTTTCTGGTCCTGCTCTTTTTTTTTTTGAAGTATGAATGGGGAAAGGGAAATAAGGAATGGCACACACGGTCCTCGGTTCGGCTGATAATGACCGTAAACTTGGAATGGCGGTCGGTTTCAAATCCGATAGTTGCATTGTGTAGGGTGTCAAATACATCATCAAGCTGGCCTTGGAGTTGTATACGTTTTCTTGATGTCTTCAGTAACAAAACCCTTATCAATAATCCTTTTTTTCAGATTGTAAATAAAAGTGCTGCCTAAAGCACTCATACACTACATGCTGTGGCTCTTAACTTTTCACGGGAGTCTTCGATAAAATGGGGTGGACATCAGGGTTTTGGGCACTGTAGTCGTGTCCTCGACTGTTGCAGAAGAAAGTGAAAGATCGACATGCACAGCTGCTGTGGAATCACCCACGCTAGCAACCGGCACAGAGCGAGCGAGTGCAGAAGTGTATGCCACAGACGGTCGAACAGGTGTCGTCCGGACCTCATGAGAAGAACGTCTGAGCACAAGTCGTCGCGATGCGTCCTCAACTACACTTACTCCACGCGAAACTGGGGAACCACTCCACTACTTCTTTACCAGTTTCCAGTACTCGCGTTCTACCAACACATCCATCGGATCAAAACACAAACGGAATTCTGGCCGAGGATCAGATATGTCGATAGGCAGACGACTGATCACATGTTTGCGAACCTCGTTGTCGATTTCACGATCTAGGCCATTCAAACTCCCCAAGGGATCCGGTTGTTGCAGTCCTTCATACGGAAAATGATAGCGCTGGCTCACGTTCACAAATGCAGAAGTAGGTTGCGTTGGCGACAATGGCGGCAACGGCGGCGGAAGCAGACCTTACAACGTACAGAAGCGACGGATCGAGGTGCGCACCAAAGTGCAACACTCAGCACAGGCGACAAAGGCCAGAAGGGCAATGATGACAAGGAAAAATAGCAGGATTCGGTTGGCATGCCAAAGGTGATTGGCAGCGGCCAAAGCGAGAACGCATAGGTAAAAGAGAGTCACTCGGGCGACAGGAACCAGGAGAATGTGCATAGCGACAGTAAGAAATTAATAAGAAGCTGGTGAAGTTGGTTTTGTCAGGCAACGTCATATGTGTGCTGCCTGCGCAGTCAACTGAACTCCCGCTATAATGTGCGCGTGCGCGATACATAAGCATGATCCCTTTCTACGGCTTTAACGAAAGCGTATTCAAAGCAAACATCACTGCATCAAAGTTGTTAAAAGCTTCATTTTCGAATAAAAATGCTTTGTTTGCTGTTGCTGTCATTATTGGTAGAGAATATAGCAAAAATCAGCGAACGTCGTCCACCATCATTATTACTTTTCCCTTCGCCTACATAATCTCCCAATGCTTGGGTGTTAAAGTGTGGTCTGATGTCAAGAAAGTATTGTACGTCGGTAAAAGTAGTTGAACCATGTATGTACATACAAGAGACATGGGCTTTGTGTTCCCTATTCAAATAACATGATTGCAAAAAACGAAAAGATATTTGAGCGCATATACGTCGGCAGATGATGTTCTGTGATGACTGGAGCTAATTGTTCCTTTTAAATCTTCATAAATACTTGGTAAAGTGCTCTTTATACTCCAAGGCTGTTATGTACAAAATAAAAAAGACAGAGCAGCGCAAATCGTGATTGAGCCGTAAGGACGACGACACTGAAGCTTCTATGTCACTTCTTTTATATGTAAAATAACTAAAAACCCGCCAATTAAGAATGCTAGGGCCTCACATGTCAATTTTATGGTGTTTAATCATGCTATTTCGGCTGCATCAGATAATAACAAAACTGCTGGGATACTCTGATGACTTCAGGAATTACTGCGTCCCATGCACTCTGAAATGCCTCTTTTTAAAAACGGCGAAAAGCAGCCAATTGGCCTTTCGTTAAACGTTGTCCTGAGGGATCATGTTTCCAAAAAACATATGAACAAACTTATTAAAGCATTATCGGCATAAAAACTTGCTAACAATCAAAGCATTGAAAGTTGTATCCGTATCAGTAAAAGTCGACCTTGATCAATTACTAGAAATAATGAAAGAGGAAAGAATGGTAAGTCGGGCTGCGGAAATAAATGGCCTTTTGGATTTAAATCACTTATCCGTTTTAAAAAGGAAGCTTGCATAGAGGGATTTCGTTTGTGAAGAGGCTTGCTAACACAATTCCAAGAAGAATTTGAGTACAAAATCAAAAAGTTACAAGAGATACCGGCACGAGTTCTTGTCTTCGATGATAGGCCGTACGATAATGCTCTAGCACTCAAACGCAAACTTTTAAGTTTTCAAGACAAAGAACGTAACTGCATAGGCTGGCTCCCGGCTATTTACAATGCCCACAACCACTCGAACTCAAAATCTACTTATCACCTCTTGCGGCATCTTTTCCACTACACTCTCTAACAAAGCTCCTTTCAAAACGATCTTAATAGCCACTACGATTCTCTCTGTCTGGACTGTACACCCGAAGCATGTGTCGTAAAATGAACCTTTATGACCCAACGCTATGGCTGCACAAGTCATCCAATCTGTTCAGAGTATCAACGACGAACTTCATCTATAGTCAGCACCTAATTATCTCACTTGTTCTTGCTTATCATTTGAAAGAAGTAGTTAAGAAAATACTGTCATTGCTACTTGGTCCAGCCTGTTGCCTTTTTTGCCCCTTCACCGCCGAGCCTGATTCTAATACCGTCTTTTCAGCCCTCTATAATTTAAGGATGGTTGAAAAACGCACCAACAATCATCATTAGCAATTACAAGGTACTTCGGCGTGTGTAAATATGGGTCCTGTGCTTGGACATTTCTTTATCAAGACACATCCTGGTGTTACACTGATACCAATCCTCAGGAAGAAGTTGTCACTGTATGGATCACGTAATTCACATAATCTACTCATCCAATGCATTCACCCGGGCTGACTTTTTACTCACGTACCTTATATCACCTAACCCTCATTTCAACCAATAAAATTTAAAGGGGTCGCTGTAATACAAACGCATATATGCAGATAGATGAAAAAAGCAAAATACAATACTTTTATAACGCTTCAAATATTCTTCTATCC